CTTGCGGCGTTTCCAGCGCTGGCGCAGTGGAGTATGAGCTAATGCGTACCAGCGTGCGTTGGGGCGGATAAGTTTATTTAAGTGAGCCTATTGAGAGCCTCAATGTATTAAGGGATAAGTTCATGTTTTTTATGGTAAAGTGGCTCAATTTTATTATGAATCCCAAAAACAATTTTCCCCAATATAAATGATGGTAAATGAAAATGACATTTTCATATAAAAAGTTGTTTTATATAAATCGATTCCATAGCGTATTCACTCATTGATATACATAGACTCATTAAAACGATAAATAATATGTTTTTAATATTTTTTTCATACATGGTTTTTGAGTAATGATTGTAGAGAGAAGATTGAATAGTGAGCCCGTCGTGTTGACTGCATAATTTATAACTAGCAAAGCGCTATGCATCAAGCGTTGATCAAATATTTTTCTTAGAAGCGGTGCGACGCCGGCAGTGCACCGGTGATCGTTGCTATGCTGAATTATAATCGTATATTCGAGTTTGTAGCATAGGAAATTTCCCGTATTCACTACATTATTTTGTTTTTATCATGAATATCCGGGAGCTTATAGTTCTCCTACTTTTGAATTCCGCTTTCAACTGTTTTTATCCCGAACATTGTGGTTATTGGGGATTTTGTGGTTTTTGGGGTTGTTGAAGGTACTGGGATTGTTGGGGTTATTGCAATTGTTGGGGTTATTCAAATAATTGTGTCAAATGGAAAGAATCCGTATTATTGTTGGGATTGGATATATTGCAGAAATTGAGTCTATATGGGTATCTCTCGCTACGAAACTGGTCGGTGATACTTGGGTTTTAATTACATTCTTTAATGGTGACAGGTTCCCCATATATATATATATATAATGTTTAACTACGTTACCGTAGTTCCCGGGTTCTCTGATTCATCAAGCTTATGGACTAATCAGGCTTATTAGTGTTATTATGGTATTTGTTATAAATTGATATATTGAAAAGATTAGGGTTATTTGTATCATCGAGTTATTGGATTTAATTAGCGTAATTGGGGAAATTATGAATAAAAAATATTTTATGAATATAATGTTATACTACTCAGTCCTGTAAAAAGGTTACGCGAACCTATGCATTCATAACGAGCTATATAGTTTTTATGTTTTCTCTTTTATAATAATTAGGAAATATAATTTTTTTAGATATATATACAATCTTTCAAATGTTAAATGATAACATAAAAGTAATCTTTTATGGATGTATATTTAAAACAATATTTTGATTAATAAAAATTTTATTTAAAAATGTTTTATTTACTGTTTTCTTCTTAAAATAATATCATGACTGCTCGGAATTCGAGCATTTTCCAAAACTTTAAAAAAAAAAAAAAAAAAAAAAAAAATTAAAAATTAATTTTAAACTTTTTAAAACTTTTAACTTTTTTTTTTTTTTTATAAGCCTTCTAGCTCTCAAATTGTTGTAAACATTTGATTTCAGGAATTCTCCAACACTCTGAAGCTTTACTTTCGAACGTCTTACAATGTTTTCCGCATAGCAACACCAATGCATTGTTGCGCGCTAAGGAAGCTGCTGCGTGGATATTTAAAGCAAGCACAACACGAAATGAGGCTTACAGTTATTCAGCCAGTAAACCAATCAGTTATGCCAGTCAGCCAACAAGCCATTCACCACAAACTCTTAAGATATAGCCACCATCGAAGAAAGACATTTCAATTCTCCTGTGCTGAAAGATAAAGGAATTGCCACTATTTATTTCATGTCAGCAAAGTGCCAGACTACAACCAACAGATCAAACCATCCATACGAAGCATTCGGGATGGTGAAACAAATCATCCAAACAGAGCATTCGGGATCGTGAACCATTCATTACAGACCACATGTCAACGCTACTGTATCTGTGTGAGTAAACCAAGCCTAAGGCATAAATCATTGCTAATCCCTACAAGATTAGCATGATGCTATTATTATTATAGCACAACCATACTCACTACTAAGAGTATGTATAATCAATTTCTGATACTTACAAGATCAACAACAACAGCAAGGAACATCTCGAGTAGGTAAACTATTCACTACAAGATCAGTTCAAGCAACTGAATCGTCGTGATTGAATATAGTATATACCCTTCCGTCACACAAATCCAACACAACAATAATGTAATTGTATATAAACCGTAATAAATCATATTAAACGAAGAAGCATACACTGAATTAATGTAAAGTCCTTCCACATAAGTCCTTCCCAAACATCCGCTGGGCCGGGTGGCAAATTATTATAAGGCTATCGAACATTGGCAGTTCGAGCCAGAAAATTAAATATTTTTCAACACATTACATAATGAACAAACGTAGACAAGAAAAAAAAATATTTTATTTTAATCTTAAATATTTAAAATTTAAATTATATGCAGCAGTAAAATATTTTAATTTTCTGCTATGATCAATTCAAGTGAACATTTTCTGTTAAAGGAAAAAATTAATATAAGTTTATGTACATGAGGATGTTTAATTACTTCAGATCTAGTTATAGTATATTTAATTTTCAAAGTAGACTTGCATTAGTAAATGTTAAAAATACCGGGTTAAGATTTTAAAAATTTGTTAAAATTTTTTTATTTTTTGTAAATTAATTAAATGATTCTTTTAATTCAATAATTTTTTACTTTTATTTTTATGATAGAACTATTCAATTGTTTAGTGTATAATACCTGTATCGGTACATGAAATTTTAATATATTTATAAAAAAAATTTAATATACATCAATAAATTTTATAATAAATATTTCTTTTATAAAAAATACAAAATTTATATAGAATGTTCAATAATACTGTAAAGGTATGATTTAATGACCTTAATATTTTGCATTAAAAGCTATTAAGATTTAAAATTTTGAACCGTTAATAATAATATCAACAGAACTTTTAAAGCAAGAATGTTAATAAATTTGTTCATAAAATTTGTTTTGAAACAAATTTATTCATCGCGTTTATTCATAACGTCGTTATTTATAATAGATATGCAAACTACTTGGAAAAGCTCATGTAATAATAAAGAAAATGATGAAATATTATTAATATAATAATGAATTTATTATCTGTTTAAAAAGCAAATTTTGAAGTAGATAGATTATTATTATAGATTATATCGGAAATATACACTTACTCATTTTTTGCATTTGCTTTATTTTTTTTAGTATAGTTAACTTGTACATCTAGTTAAAATATTTTAATTCTTTGCTTTATGATTTAACCACCTTTCGATAGCTTGGATAACCAACCCTTTATGTGTATTTTTAAATAATCTCATTTTGCTTAACCATTTTATTTATTCAAAATAAAAATCAATATTCATATGATAGATTGTAATATATTAAAATGTAATTTATACAATATTTTTACATATAAAATTATCAACTGACAAATGGTTTAAAAAATTATTAAAATAATTTATATTATATGTATAATATACAATATAATTTATATTGCATGGTTTCTAATGTTTAAATATAAATAAACTTAATAATATTAAGTTTCATAGTTAATAATAATCAGGTACAGGTGCACAAGCAATTTTAACAAAATCTTCATATTTTACTTGTCCGTTAAGAGAAACATTTGCCTCGCGAAAAATTTGTTCAACTGTCAATAAGAAATGTATATATAATTTATTTATATATGAGTTTATTTAAAAAATATTTATATAATCTTTTGTCATTTACGTAACTACCTTCCTTATTACTCAACTGCTCTCCCCAATTTAATAACATATGAGCAATTATCCGCAGCTTGAAATGCTTCTATAACTTCCTTTGGTATATTTTCTATTCTAGTTTGAAGATGCATTGCTTCCAAAAAATCAGCAAATGACATTTTTCCACCTATAAAAGTTAAATTCTTATAAAATTTTAGTCACTAATATAATTATTTATAATTAAATACATAATGATATAACATGATTACATAATAAACAATTTTTCAAAAAATTAAATTTTGATAGTGTTTTAAAATTTCTAATATATAATTTTGATAAATATAAGTTTTTAAAATATTCATTCACCTTTATCTTTCAAGTACTTATTCAATTCAGCTATTGTTGGACTAAGCCCAAGTGACCGCATAATAATTGTTAATTCATCTAAAGTATGAATTTGTCCACTTCGAGCATATAGATAAAAACACTCTCTAAATTCTGTAATTAAAATATTTAATAGGAATAGTAATAAGAATAATAATAATAATAATTATTATTGTTATATTATAAAAGTTATCAATATAATATATAAACGTTTTCAATATAAATATGAAGTTGAATGAAAACTTTTTTACGTTATTAAGACATTATTACCATCAATATCTTCTTCTCGAAAATAACGTGCCTATAATATATAAATGTTTATTGATAAAATAATTTTAATACTACGTAGTTTTAAAAAACAATTTTATGTTTTTACCATTTTTATTTTATTTTTGTAATTGTAGGGACCAAGGCAGGGACCAAGACTTGTTTAAAAACAAAAAATAAATTTGTTGACGTCAACCAGTAGTTTAATGTATAACACAGATAAGTAAATGGATAGTTATGAAGCATAATCGTTAATTTTATACAGATAAGTGGTGCCTGCGCAGTAACAATTTCATACCGATTTTTCGTATTGTTTGGAAAAAATATATTTTTCGTCCAATGAACGAAAATGATTATATTGGAATGATAATATGAAAGCCTTTTTGCTATCTATTCATAAAAATTATCCTATCAGTTAAATTTTGAAAATGACATCAGTTTAATAGAATATTTACGCATTAACACAGTTTTAATTGTGACATAATTATGAGAATTTACTGTGAACGCGCGAGCCACATTTTTTTTATAAAAAATTGGAAAAATTTTCAATAATTAAAAAAAAAATTGTATTATTAATTATCATCTTAAATAAATAAATTTCATTAATTTAATTTAATTTAGATTAATAGTTAATCTAGTGAAATAATAATAATTATTCTTAATGTTTGTTTAACTATTAAATTATATTAAAAAGAATCAAATAATTCATCGAATTATATATTATTTTATTATCTGATAAACTTTAATTAATCATACATTCTTATGTTTTTAAATTATAATTATTTTTTATTCGGATGAATTTATTTTAGTAAACATAATACGCGGTGTAGCTTTGTCTAGTAGTAACTTAAAATTTAAAATAACTTTAATCATATGTAATAACATTACTTAATAATGATATTTTCTTTTGGCTATTTTTATTCTGCATAACTACTTCAAGTTCTTTATAATTCCACGTATTGAGATTTATAACTATTGGACAAAGCAATGTTTGATAAAATTAATAGATCTATCATACATTAAAATCAGGTCTTACGGGATATTTCAATATGGATAAAAATTGGGTTTAATGACGATCATATACGAATTATTAGTATATATTTTGCATGAAATTAGGTATTCGATTTTTTTTTATTTAATTTTATTTTATTTATAATACTTGTTTTTGTAGCGATTTATACCTTAAATGCGTTACTTTATTTATAGCCAGATTTTTATTTGTCGTTACCTCATAAAAAGTTAAATACTTGATTTTCATGAATTATACTCTTAGTAACTGAATGTTTTATTATTTTCTGATGTCCTGAACTCTGTCATGTGTTTATTATAATTTGTCAAATATTCGCGGTCGGTTATATTATTAAAATGGCAGGCTACATTTCATCTATAGACTATATATGCGAATTAAAAAGAACGCAATTTAGTATAGTACTAGCAGAAAAGATATATGGCTTTAAAGCACTGGAAACTTGAGTTTCATAACAAATAACAATTAAAGATGATTTAAATGCACAGTGATGTATAATATAAAAATATACAAATTAAAGTGTTTTAATTTCTTTTCTTAAGTTTACTAAAAATTCCTGAAATATTTTCAGAAATTTTTTATAAATATTTAGAAAATTATTTTAAAAAAAAATGGCTCATTGGTTTCATCGCAATCTACTAAAAGCAACAACAAATCATAAATTCGAATTAAAACATAATGATCCTACTGATGCTACAAGAAAACTTTGTAGGTTGGTATTTTTGTTTACCAAATGGTAAATAATATCCTTGTACTAATTGAAATGGATATAGTGATTTAAGAACCTGTCGGATTCGATTATTAGATCTTTTAAAGAATCCAAATAATACAAGTACATCAGTGGAACCTGCCTTTATTTCTTATCTTTCTTTGCTTTATGGCTTTATATGGGAGGTCGACGCTTTAAGTGAAGAAAATGAACAGATTGGTGGACCAAATCCAAGCAAACTTAGAAATGTATTTGTTTTTAAATGGACTCATACTCTTCTTGGACAAGGAACTGTGTAAGTTATTTTACATAATTACAGATATATTTATAATAACACTTGTGAATGAATATGAAATATGAATATGAAATGAATATAGTTTTTATAATTATAAGAATAAGAATAAGAAATAAGAATAATTTAAAATGATAAAGCTAAGATATTCCAATAGTTATGATTTATTAAAATAATACTAAATGATTAAAAATTTTTATATTGACTTATAAGACGTATAAGTATTATATATTTTATTTTTTAAAGTTGTATTTTGGACAAAAGAAAATTATTTTAATGCTGATTACTTTTTAGAAATAAAATTAAAATATTTTATTTTTTAATCTATAAAAGTGGGATTTATTTCCTTTTTATAATAATAATTTTAATATTTTTCATTTACATAGTTCCTTTGCTGATTCTGTGTATGAAGCAGCAAATATAAGTGTAATTCTTGGTTTATGGTTTATGAAACATGCTGCAATGATTGCTTCAAAAAATGAGTAAGTAAATTATAAGCTAAAAATATAATATTAATAAATCAGGTTTTGAATAAAAAGAATTTATGTCAGTATTACGATGAGTGAAGCAAAAGAAGTATATATCATGATGAGAAGGGCAGCTGGAATATTTACTTTTGTACAGACAGAATTTTTACCCCAATTATCTAATCCATCACCATTGGGTAGTGATTTAGATCCTCGTGTTATAAATGCTTATGTCAATCAATGTACTGCAGAAGCTCAAGAAGGTAACAACAAAGTATTTAGTTTAACATATTTTTTTATAATTTTTAATAATAAATTTTTTATTGTACAGTAACTGTTGCTCGAGCTGTTGAGTTAAAACACAAACCTAGTTTAATATCTGCATTGGCTAATGAAACAAGTAAACTCTTTTTTGATGCAGCCAATACTTTAAGATCCTTTAAGGCTGAAATTTCAGGACAATGGATTAAATATTTGGAATTTAAGTCAAAATTTTATCAATCATATGTAAATACGTAATGTAACTTATATGGTAATCGATTTTTATTTTAAGTATATTTACATTTATTGTACACTTTCAGTCATATAATTACTGTGGAGAACACTTATTGGCAATGGACAAATGTGGAGACGCAATAAGAGCTTTAAAAGAAAGTGAACTATGCTTGATTAAAGCCAAAACATTTTGTGCAGAATATAGTAAAATTCATGGACCAGCGCCACGTGTAAAGCCTGATCAACATACTGTATTTAAACGCTTATCTCCTTTGGTTGCACGTACACTTGATAAATGTGAACGTGAAAATATTTTAATGTAAGGAATTAATACAATTATCAATTTAAATTAACATAGAATTTATTAAAAACAGTAATTTTTTTAACTTTCTTAAAAAGTGATAATTTAAAAAAATTCTTTTTGATTTAAATTATGATAATATTTACTTATAAAGTATGAACGTTATTTTATTTTTATATAGAATGATTTTCAGTAATTTTAGTAATTTATTAATATATATAATCAACTTACACAGTAGCTTTTTATTATTAGATACCATCATTCTGTACCTCAAGAAATACCTGTACTTGATACTAAAGCTACATATGGATTAGTAAGTCCTATTGATTTTCACATGCCGGGTTGTAATTCTTTGTGGTATCTGGACATCTACAAAACATTAACTGGTACAGAAACACCTAAAATAGACAAAGAACAAGATTTACCTCTAGTTAAGGAAGAGGAGATATCTCAAAATAATAAAGAACCTAAAAATGAAAGTGGCTGTACATTACAGTAGGAATTTATCTCATTCTTAATAATGAAATTAAGAAAATGATTTAAAAATGAAAATGCCTTTAGATTTTTAGCTGCATTTTGAATAATATCAATGTGCAAATATTTATATTACTGTTATAATATTAGTATTATTAAACCTAGTCAATAAATTGTTTATATTTACATGTATTAATTTTAATACAATAAAATTGAATATTTAGTAAAAAGTTGGATGAAATAACAAGATAATTTTAAATATTGATTTGTTCATTTTAATTAGAATGTTAATGCGTCATTAATTTTATTATTAATTTTATTAATAAAATATATTAAAATAAATGGATTTTATATTAATTATTTATATTTTAAATAAAACATGATTAATTTATTATTTAGTAAAAATGTATAATTGTAACTACCACTTGTTTAATTATAGCTCGTGGCATACATAATTAGAAAATTATGTATTAAAATATGTTTTGAATTATAATTGTGAACAAATAAAAGTGATTTTATTAATATACCTGTTTTTAATTGATTTACAAATCTTAATATATGCAAAGTTACTTATGAGAATATTATTATTTATTTATAGCCCAAACAAATGTAATATTTATTTAAATATCATGATCATTTTGAATACTTTTTTAAAAAATTAAATTAGGTTTATTTTAAATCTTACATAAAATTTTAACTCTAAATTATGTACGTATTTAAGTTTTTAGACCAAGAATCTAATAAAATTTATCTGATTTTTAACTTTAAATATTTTACATTTCACATTTAACATTTTCTATATAGTATGATAATATTTGATGAATTGTGCATAAGTATTTTTCTAATAATATAACTAATATGATATAATAATAAATATTACATTAATATATATTTATTTTTTGTGTGCCAAAAAGTTTGCTTTTTATTTAAAAAAATATTTTTAATTATAGATATATAATTATAGATACATGGGAGAAGCTCGACTTTGGAAGACATCATAATAATGATCAAACATATGTATTAAAACAATCTAAACAATAAATGAAAAGTTACAATTTAATTTGTTAACAACTCATTTTTATTCAAATAATATTTATGTATTATTCATTTCATAACCAATATGTTATTGACTGGAAAACTGCATATTAAATAGATAGCTCCTAAAAAGTATTATAAAATTGTAAATTACTTGATATTCATTTATAAACATTTTTGAAAACTTATGCTAAATTATTCCACTTTGGAAACTAATTCCAAATTACAGAAATTTTAATGTAACTCATAAATAAGTACCACTTTAGGTTCAAAATGTTTCTGCATTTTAAATTCATTAATACAGTCCTGTCCTCTTTGAAACAAAAAATTTACAATCTTTTAGGTTGTATTATAAAGGTCAAGATATTTTTTACAAGTTCCAGGATACTCTGTGTTCATACATTTAAAAAGATATATATGCTTAGATGATTTAAAAACATTTAACATGCAAAAATTTAGATACTCATGAAACTATAATTTGTCTTTATGTATATAAGAAAATATTTCTAATAGGTATAGATGATACATTTGATCATAAATCATTTAGCAAATTATGTTATAATTTAAAAAGGAAATACACTATAATATATATTTAGCAAATTATGTTATAATTTAAAAAGGAAATACACTATAATATATATTTAGCAAATTATGTTATAATTTAAAAAGGAAATACACTATAATATATATTTAGCAAATTATGTTATAATTTAAAAAGGAAATACACTATAATATGCGTATCTTAATGTGTGTTTTGATTTATTTTAGAATAACATATATATGAAAGATATTAGATAATACTAAAAAGCAATTGCATGTTTTACTTATATATCTTAAATATCTTGATAAACAATTACAAAATATATTAAATTTCTTTTGGGAAAAATGAAAAATAATAAATTTCTAAAGATCTTAGAAAGCATTTCGTTTGTATGATTAAAGAATAGATATCTTAGAACTAATCAATAATAACATACAGGTTATATTGTAATTGAAATAAAAAAAATATTTAAGATTTAGGATTGAGTTTAATTTATTAAAATATTTATTTTTCAATTACATAATGGAAAATATTATAATAATAACAATAAATATGTTTTTTTATTTTAATGATTCGTTATTATAATAGTTATTATAGGTTTTACTAATTCACGTTTCAAATATTTATTTTTTAAATATGATGTAAAAAGGAAAATAATTTGTTTTAAATTTTATACATTTTATACTTTAAATTTTTTTACTTAAGAAAATGATTCGTTATTTTTAAAAAGTTTTTTAAAAATGAACCACACAATAAAAACACAATTTTTAAACAAAAATAGAAATTATTATATAAATTTTTATTTTTATGTAATGATAACATACTGAATTATATAATAGAATTATTGAATTAATAACACGATGTATTTAATTTTGTATATGTTATCTTGGTTAATTCATAGTATAAAGTGAAATGGATAGGTTATTATTGTTCTATTTTCTACACTCAGAGTTGAGAGTTCTCAGGCAATATCATTAGTATGGAATAACAATTTTTAATTGCAAAGTTCAAGTTAAATTTATATGTAATTTTGTTTAGGGATTTTTTATACAAATATTTTTAGAAAAACATGGCAGATAATTTAAATAAATTTTCATTTACTTTCAATATCAGTGTGCAATGCCCAATAACAAAGGCTAGAACTGGATATATACAAGTTGTACATTATGATGTTGAAACTCCAGTTTTTATGCCTGTCGGTACGCAGGTAAATAATGTAAATTTAAGTATTGAAGAAAATCTAATTAAATTTTTTAATATTGTGACATCGATGTGTTCAAATTTTGTTTTATAATTAACTGTTAACCTATATATCGTATTGTAGGGATCATTAAAAGGATTGCTTCCACAACAATTAGAACAGTTAGGTTGTCAAATTATTTTAGGAAATACATATCATCTTGGAAATCGACCGGTAAGCAATTCTGAAATATTTATTATATTTTATATTTTTATTTAAATTGTAATTTAAATCTATGATTTGAGGGTTCTGAAATTCTCGATAAAGCAGGTGGGCTACACAAATTTATGAATTGGAATAGAGCTTTATTAACAGATTCTGGTGGATTTCAAATGGTGTCATTATTAAAACTTGCCAAAATTACAGAAGAAGGAGTAGAATTTAGTAGTCCTTTTGATGGTATAAAGTTAAATTATTTTGTAATATCTATTTTTTAAGTTTTAAACTAATTCCAAATTATGTAAATTTTAATGTAACTCATAAATAAGTACCATTTTAGGTTCAAAATGTTTATTAACACCAGAAAGATCTATTCAAATACAAAATTCAATTGGTGCTGATATTATAATGCAGTTAGATGATGTTGTTCATAGTTTGACTGAAAAACCAAGGGTAGAAGAAGCAATGTATAGGTAATAATAAACGTTGTTATTTATAAACATTTATTTTAATAAATCATATACTTCACAGAACGACTAGATGGTTAGATAGGTGCCTGATAGCTCATACAAAACCAAACACACAAAGTATTTTTCCAATCGTTCAAGGTGGTTTAGATCCAATTTTAAGAACAGAATCTGTTGAACAATTAAAACAGCGTAAGGTTAATGGCTATGCAATTGGTGGACTTAGGTATATATGTCATATTGTGTTAAATATTCAAAAAATATTATATTATACTATATTATTTTATATTTAACAAATTATAAAAGTGAATTTAAAATGTTTTGTAGTGGAGGAGAAAGTAAAGAAGATTTTTGGAAAATGGTTCATCTTACAACTGATATTCTTCCCAAGGACAAACCAAGATATTTAATGGGAGTTGGTATTGCTGTAGATTTAGTTGTATGCACTGCATTAGGAGTTGATATGTACGATTGTGTTTTTCCTTCTAGAACTGCAGTAAGTGTTAAGTATATTTTTAAATGAAACAAAACTAATATCTTATATAAATTAAAAATAAATTTATTATAATTTTCCAAATTAAATATATTTTATTATATTTTCATACTATAACAAATTAAATTCATTACTTATTAAATACAGAACAAAAATGTAAATAGAAATTTAGAATTATAAAAATTTAATTATTTATAAAGTGATTAAATTCATTACTATCATTCTACATAACATTTTTAAATTACAATTTTCAGAGATTTGGATGTGCATTAATACATACTGGACAATTAAATCTAAAGCAAAGTAGATATAGTACAGATAAACGACCTATAGATGAAACATGTACTTGTACTACTTGTAAAACTTATAATCGATCCTATATTCATCAAATTGTTACTGTTGAAACTACAGCTTGTCATATATTAACTGTTCATAATATTGCATTTCAAATGAGACTCATGAAAGAAATCCGTCAAAGTATTACAGAACAGAGATATCCCAAGTATGTTCAAGATTATATGTTGAAAGTTTATCCTAACAAAGATTATCCAAAATGGATTGTTAATGCTTTGAGAGCAGTAAATATTATATTACTATAACTTATAAATTAAATATATTTATAAAAATTTTATCTGTAAATTATTTTTTACAATACACTGTATTAATGAGTCATTAATTTGTACGAGTTACACATTTGACAAGAAACAATGATTTTGTACAATTAAATGTGCTGTATTATTCCTATACACAAACAATTTTTAATTATTGAATGTAAATAAGAATCTAACAAAATTGCAATTTAAGTTTACATCATTAAATATATCTTGTGTATAACTTCAAACAGCATGATGAATGAAGGTAAGTTATCACATGAAATCATCTGAATCGTAACCAGTATTTTCTGCGTTAGATGTCATATTAGCAGAATTAAAAAGAGAATTGTAGCTTCTGTAAAAGTAGTGGAATTTTAAATATATAAAAAGTTAATGTTCCATACAAATTTAATAATTATGACAGATGCATAAGTTAGATGTTTTTTTTTTGTATTTTTAATAGCACGCATTTTATTTTGATTGATTTACCTAATTTCAGCCTCATCTTTACGCCTCTTTTCCTCAGCTTTTTCCTTTTCCTTTTGTTCTCTAAGAAGTTTTTTCTTATCTTCCCTTTCATTTCTATCTCTTTCTTCTCTCTGTACTTGAAAATTGACTTCTTCGAATCTTTTTGTTTTATTCAAACGTTTAACAATTGAGTTATTACGTTTATTGACATGAATTTTACGGACTTCACGCTCTTTATGAAAAGTTACTTCTCCAACATCCATACCTGGTGTTTTTTTAAGATTAGACCACATAGTATAAACAACATCAATATCATTCATTTTACTTCCATCAGAACTATTTGCTTTGACTAATTGAGCTGCATCTTCTAAAACTGCGCTTGGAATGTCATTAATTGTTTGGCCCTTAAATTAAAATTTTTATTGAATATAAACGTATTTAAATTATCAAAATCTAATAAAAATATATATACTGACACATTTTAATCTGACATATACATGAGCAGAAGAAAATTTATGAACATGAAACCAAACATCTTCTGGCCATCCCCACTTAATAAGATCTTCATCTATATAAGCAAATAAATAATTATTGCATGATTTGTAATCAAATAGAGTACTAAAATACAAGGAAATTGTAAATTAGTTAATATTGCATATGTGGAAATAATCACAATTATATATTATACAAGTTTTTAATTTTTTTAAAGGAAAATTAATAATCATGATATAAAAAAAACCTACTTTCATCTTTATCCACTCCCATAAATAATGTAACTGGTGGTTGTACGACTAAAATATTTGTAAAATTATAAAAGCGTTATTTATGACTTAACCTTAAGATTTAAAAGTTGTACATTTTAATTCAATACAAAGCAAATAAATTATAATATGTAAATAAAAATATTAAAAAATTAATGCATTCTACAATTTACCAGTACTCTCGAAAAAGAAAACCATTTTTATAAAATCTTGAAATAGTCACAGTTAATAAGATAATAAAACAAATATTAGGAATCTCCGGAGGCCGCACTAAAGGTGTGTTTAATAAGACTATTGTCTAATGCGATTAATATCCAGATTTATAAATAGAAGATTCAACTAGAATAAATTAAATTATTATATTAAATACAATTATATTTCAATTATATCTTTCAAAATCATTTGAAATTTAAGTATTGAATTTGTGAAAAAATATAAAAGAAATTTTAGAAATTGAAATCAATTAAATTTTCACTTTTACAACAATTTTGTTATTTTATGTTTTATAAACTTTCGTAACATTTTTGTAAAAATATATTTTATTTGAGATACACTAATTTAATAAAAAGAAATATAAATCATGATTTGTAACATGTATAATGATAATTATTAAATTGTTTATTTTAAAAACTGCTTTCATTATATGCAATCATGCCATTGAGTTTGTTTAATGTTATTTAAAAATTATTAATATGAATAGATATTTCGACAGAAATATATATATATATATATATTATGCATCGCATTAAACTTTCATATCAGTATTGACTTAATATTTAATTAATAATAATTCGATTAAATGATAATAATTTAATTGATTTAATATCAATATTGTCTGTAAATAATAAATTATTTCATACACGCAATTATTTTAAATATATATTCTTAAAAATATTGAATGCTAGTTTCTCATGCCTATATAGCATCAAATGAAAATACATTAAATAAATGAATTTTTATACATATATAACATAATTTTTTTAAATGTTTCATTTTGTGAAAATTAAATGTAAATAATAACTACCACATACAAATTCATAGCTTTGGTTATTATTTTATGAAAAATAAGTTAGTTAATTATTCTATTTTTTTTTAATTAATAATTATACCATATTTACATCTTTTTTAATTAATTTTAACTCATTTATTTCGTTAAAATTGTTATTAGAATCAATATTAATAATTTATATTTATTTCGAATTTATTATCTGCTGTAATTAAATTAACAAATATAAATTTATTTTATTGATGAATCATAACATTTTTTTAAATATATTGTTTTATAAACTGTCACAACAGGGTTTTATCTATAATAAGTTAATATAATGATAAATAAAATTATAAATATATTTTGAACATGTATCAAATCCTTATTTAAATTTAATGAAATTCCATTTTATTTTATTAATGTACAAAATTAATTTCAGCCTAGATTTTTTTTGCTATAGATGATACAAATAGAAATTTGAAATATCTGTATACTATAAATTATATCACTAGTAATAAATAAAAAAATTTACTGAATACAGATTTCAAATATGTTTAAAATTTGTTATAGTTATTACATTACATAAATATACCCATCCAGTACTAGTAAAAAATTTAATAAAATATTTACATACTAAATAATATACATGGATTTTTATATTAATACATACATATTTACTATGTAATACTACTGCAAACAAAATAGCCACATTAACTAATTGAATTAGACGTTTATAAAGTAATACTATGAACACTGAAGGTTTGAATGCAAAAAAGAAAGGTTTCTCAAAAAAATAGTTTATGTTTTTTCTTGTTTTATTTATATTTTAAAATGTTTTATATAAACGTTTTCATTTCTTTGTTGACGTAGTTTTTGATATTTCTTTTTCTTCTTTGGAAGTTTTTACCAAAGCTTCTTTTTTCAATGGTGCAGTTTCTGTGATATTCAAGTCTGTGGGCACTTTTTTTTTTGGTGATTTTTTCACCTTAGGTTTAACTGCTTTTACTGCTGCTAATTGTTTTGATCGTCTTTCTTTGATCTTTTTCTCAACCACTGCTGGTGAAGATTTTTTCAACTTAATCTGTAATTTAATTTTTAATTTTTTTCAATTTAATTTTTTAATGTATTTTTATATTGTTGATAAATGAATATATACAACTAATACTTAATAGATTTTCGTAATCGATAAAAAAATATCTTTTGTTTTTACTATTGATTAATGAAATTGAATATAAATTTATATTTATTTACATTCAAATTAATTTAACTGTTGTACTTAGCAATCATTTTCATTGAAAAGTACTTTAACTCTTTCATATATATATAAAACAAAGTTTATATTCTCTTTATTAGAAAAATTTAATTATACTAACAAATAATAAATGATGAAGAATAAAAGAACTTACCCCTCGTTTTTCCGCAAGAAGTAAATCTCTTTCATTCTGCCGTTTCCTGGCTGTTAAAATAGCTGCGCGCTTTAATACAGCACTATATGGGTTAAGTCGTAGCATTGCTCTAGTATTGCTGATAGGATTGAGCTTTTTCACCCTTCGAACAATCTTCTTTCTATAAAAAATTTATTGACTTTACTTAGTTGTAAAATAAAACAATAGAGTTAATTAAATATTACGGAGATGCTCAGTAAATATTTCGATTTAAATCATTAAATCATAAACACAGACCATATATATCATCATTAAAGCTAATAAAAAAAATTTGTAAATACAATTTGTTAATAAATTATTTTTAATGAATAATTGGTACTTAAAACAATTTCATTTGATACATTTTAACTTAAATTTTATTATTTAAAATAAGTATTTTTTATTTTTTAAACATCAGTTTAAATTAAGTGCTCTTAATCATTTTAATTTTGAATAAAATTTCTCAGACAAATAATTGTTAATGTTTCAGGTAGATTATATTATATACTTATTAACGGCGACATAAAATTATAAGAATTGAATTTAAAGGTATTATCTTAAAATCATGTAAAATAACAAATAAAAGAAACATACTTCGGAGCTCGTAAAACTTTTCGTATTTCATCAGACTTAAGAAGCCTAGAAAGGTCGGTATTAGCCATTTTAGGCATAGGAAGATTATATCCTTTCTTTAATTTTGCTTCTTTGCGCCATGTACCATATAAAGCATCCAATTTTTCAAATGCCGATTTTGTCCAAATAACAAATCGCCCAACGTGACCACCAGGTGCCAATTTCAAAAGATTGAGTTTATTAATGTTCATTAAATCAACTCCTGGAATATTGCGAAAGGCCTTACGTATACCCTATGAATATAAGATAAAACTTTATGTTTATAATATGTGATATAGACAAAACTTGAAATAGCAATAAAATAACAATTCCAATTATTTTCATTATTATAAACAATAAAACATTAAAAATAAACTACTAAAAATTTATTAATTACGATTATTTCAATTGTTTTATTAACAGTAACATTTAACTATTTTTGAAGATTTTTAATTATACATTATTTTTAAATAATTACCTGATCATTTCCATAAATAATAAGTGGTCCGCGACGTTGAATTCGTCGCCGATTACGCATTTTACCTTTACCAGCACGAAAACGTTGTGATTTGTATACCTAAGAATTTATTAAATAAAATAAATCAAATAAAAAGGTGGAATAAAAAAATTTATAAGTTTGTGCAATGAACATATCTTTCTTTCAAGAGAAATTCATAAAAGAAAAACGCCTGATCACCAAATTTATTTAGCACCTAATGGATCAATCAAGTAAATAATTACAAGATTGAGGACATTTATTTCAGTGCTAATACCTTAAATGTTTAAATAAATATGTTTACCTTTTTAATATCATTCCAAGCCTTAATCAATCTCAAGAAATCCACCGCTTGTTTTGTCTTATTGTATTCTTGAATTTTGTCTGAAACTACCAGTGGAAATTCTGGTACACCCTCTATTAAATGCCCTACAAAAATTTCACATGAATTATTTTATGATTATTTACAGTAATACATATTGAGAATTAGTAAAATATAATTTAAATCAGAATTGGTAATAATCAGTAACAAATCAGCAACACGGACCAATAATTTTCATCACAATAAATAAAGGAAATTTATGAAAAGTAAAATGTATACTAATATGTACCTTTTGATTGAACAAGAGCTGGTACACCAGAAGCAGCGATAGATGAAACAATTGCATATCTTTTCTGATTTACATTAACACGACGATGCCAGCGCCGCCATGGTTTTGTCGGAGCAAACATCCGACCACCTCTACACATGTTACCAAAAGCACCTTGACCAGATCGATGAGTTCCACCACCACGAACTCTTGGTATACGAGCAACAGCACGACCAGTACCCCATGATTCAGCAGAGGTTTGGTGACCTAGAAAATATTTATTTTCAATTATGTTTAAAAATATATAAATAATTACTCACTTATTTTTTAGACTTATTGTTTCACTAATTGTAATTATTAAAAAATCGCAATAAACAATACACTACTTGAATATAGGTTGACGATATTATTTTTCCATTGTAAAGATTAACAACAATAAATTAAATACATTCAACAAAAAGAATATAATTTATTATACAAAAAAACAGTTTTAAAGATTAATTTAATATTAATACGAATTAAGTTTTATAATTTTAAACTATATTTGTTATTGTTTGATCCTTTAAGTATTTCTTTCATTGAAAATAAATTCTCAAATAATACAAAATTAAATAATTAAGGAGTTTATTTTTTAATTTACCAGCTTCTTTTGAAACACAATAAGGTTGGCGACTATTTTTAGAAATTTGTTGGTGAACAAAATTTACAACATCAGGTCGAATAGGTGCTTTAAAAACTGCTGGTAATGAAATAGTGACTTCAGATGCTTCGTTTTTATCTGTGAAGACTGTAATTAATGGACGTGCAGTGGACAATGACTATAAAAATAAATAATTTCATTTTAATTTTGTAAAATTTGAATAAGCAATATAAATCTTATGATATAACCAATATTCTTACCCCCTATGCTAACCACATAAATAAAACATTTAAAAAAAATTAAACTATGCAATTATTTATTTTGAAAATGTAAGTATTGTAGAACATCGGTATAAACGTTAATTAAACAATTATTTATCTTTAGAATAACGATTTTTATAAAAATTAAATATATGTAAGAAGTATAAATTGAATAAATTGTCATTCATGTAGTATTTATACTGCAAAGTAGAAATAAAAAAATTTCAAGTAATATTAGAAATAAAATATAATATGTATCTTTAAAAAATACTCAATATTTTAAACTACTAATGATTAAAATTAAGATACCACATGGTCGTTATAAACGAGAAACAAATATTGTGATTCACAAGATATTTGAAAGTTTGAAAGAATTTTAATTCAACAACTAATTTTAAAACATTAAATAATACATTATAATGAAGTATTGCTTACCATTTTATCACCTTTTCACGAAATTTTCTTCATGAAAAATTCACTTATACAGCTCATACGCCGTATCTGGCTGAAAGAAAGATGGATACGACCGGAAGCCGAGTGGGCCTCTATTATACTTAATAAGTTACACATGCCAACTTCATTTTGAAAGATGGCGTATTCAGTGATTCCGGTTTTCATTTTAAAATTCTGAGTTGGTTATTTATTTAAAACATTTTTAAAAATAATTTTTATGTATGTTTATTAATTTAGATGTCTGAAAAATTGTTCAGAAATATTAAAAATGTTATATTTTTATAAAAATTTAATCATATATTCTCTCTAATTTTAATATAATTTAAATAGAATATTAAAATTAACAATTTTTAAATAAATCAATCATTCTACTTTTTATTAATTAATAAACATTTCAAATCAACCAATGATCTTATATAATATTGTTTCAAATGTCTAATTACAATTTTAATTTACCATAAAGTATTCAATAAATGGTAGGATGACTATTCTCATATAAATTATATACAGTTTTGGAACTTTAATACTGTAGAACTAAGTTAACTTATGAACAATAAATACAATATCATAAAGCGAAAAATTGCATACGCACTAAAAATAGTGAATCGTAGATTCAGAAAGGAGAATATATACAGTAATGTAAAAGTATATAGAGTTTACATGTGCACATGCGTATTAATTATTTTAGTGCTGACAAACGTTAGCAAAAAATTACGTTTAAGACAAATTTAAAATTTTCTGTTTTATTTAATTTATAAAACAAACTATATTTCACATGCTTAAAATAAATAATTATCTCTATAAAATAATGTAAGTTTATACTTAACGGATTGAAATATATTATTCTTTTAACCTTCAATATTATTAATAAATTATACATTATATTTTATACTATGATCAATTAAAAAATATAAAAAGTACATTTTCGTATACGAACCTATTATTGTATAAAATATCTTACTTTATTCAATTTTTTACAAATTTTAATTTATTTAAATTTTATGTATTTTTATATTTCCAAAACACCTGAATGCTCATGCAGTACTGTGTTTAAAATACTAACCGTAGAGTATACAATTATGATAAAGGTTTAAGTTTATTGGGTCTAATAACTAACATTTCTTTTTAATAAAATATTTATTTTCATTGTTATTAAATTTATTATATTATCCAATGTTATGTTTAAATATATAAAAACAAAAAATATTGAATAACACTCGTTGAAATATTTAAATAATATTTCTATTAAACGAGACATGGGTATAAAAAACCATATTAGATGGAAAGATTTACTTTGCGGTGAACGTGTTACAAAAAAGTAAATTTTTAAGTTTCACATAAAATTGTTTTTCACTCATATATTTTTTAATAATTTCCATTAGATTTTTATATGTATATATATATCTACAAATCTAATTAAAATTCTCCATGAAGATAATATTATTATTATTCATGAAAAAAAATGTTAGCAATTAATATTGACATCTTTAGAAAAATTACCACCATACTATTGACAAAAGGATTGAAAGCAAAGCAAGGCTAACACGTGACTGGCAAATATGTAGAAATAAATATTGATTCTACCAATAATAATTCTCAATGGCGAATGTAATGAATGTAGTCAGATGATGAGTAAGGCATATAATACAAGGTTTCTATCAAAATAAAAGGATTCTTATAACAATTATGTTTCAATAACCCACGCGAAGGAATACAAATATGTACAATAAATATGTTATAGATAATAAAAATTCATGATGTTAGAATTCCGAATAGAAGTTACCGTGCACTACACCTTTTCTTATCAAGAAATACGATACTTCTTTATTCTAACAATTTTTTAAAGGAAAGTTCTCAAGTTAATAAATAAAGTATTTATTCAGAAATATTATTATATGAGCCACTTATAAATTGATAGAATAAACAATATGAGTAGCTAAACTGCATGAATTTTCGAATTTCGGAAATGTACGGTGGTGAGAGATTAATGCGTGGTAAGGATTAAAAAGGTTTCATTAGGATACAATTAAAAAACTAAAAATAGCATCCACAATAGTTATCCAACAGTTATCCAACAATATAAGAACGAAGGAACTGTACAGAATTTATTTTTTTTTTTTTTGTAGATAATACAAAATGTCCGTTAATCTGATAATATTGATTTTTAAAAAATAAAAAATGATCAATATCAAATGTAATGTACGAAACTAACTTTTATTGTAAATATTTGGTACTCACAAATATATATTTGTATTTACTTAATTTTACATTGTAATCTTTACTTTTCTTTATTTTTTATTATGCTTTCGTATCGATTTTCTTAATAAGTTTTTTTCTTTTTGTCTTGAATCGATCTCAGACTATTCATAAATAACAAATTTAACAAACTAAACACTAAATAATTTGTTATATTTGTAATTTACTAATTATTTGTAAAAAATAATTATATTTATTTTGAAGTTTACCATTTGAGAGATCATTTAATTTAGTTTTATTTCAAGGAATGCATATAATTGTTCCTAATTCAATAAGTTAATCTGTGATAATAAGAAAAGAAGTTTGAAATAAATTTCCATTATTATTACATACTTATATTTACTTTTCCAATAATAAATTACTATTTTATAAATTGTGAATTTTTATAAATGTATATATTTTAGAATAGATATGATTTTATTACTTTATTACATTAGATATTTATAATAATTAAATTGATTAATTTAATAATAAATATTTTAAAGATAACTTTAAAGATAAAAAATATATTTTATAAAAGTTATTTCAAATATATAGTTTATTAAATTATAAAGAAACCGTGTTTTATTTATAATTATTTATATTTACATTATTTAAATTTAATTTTGTATACGTAACATTTTTATAGTAATTATCATCAATATAGATTATTAATATTGATATATAAATAAATATTAATCAAGATTTAAAAAAAATTTTTTCATATTGACTATCATAATTAAGATATTATACATATTAAAATTTCTATTTAATAGATATGAAAGATATAATTTCTTAATGGCTTATATGAATATTTTTAAATAAATATCAATTCAAGAATGTTTATTACAGTTGCACGTACTATATTGCATATGTTATTCATTAAAATATCATCTCGTTTTCTGGATATATATCTGATCTACGTAGTACACGCTTCAGAGGATATATATATATATATTTCTTAAATACAATGATGTGAAATAGTTCAGAATTTTTTATTTGCTGCAAGAATTGTCTAAATTCGCGCCAAAATATAATGGAACTGCATTCCCGCCATAATTATCAACCTGTGTTCAATCCCGTCGAATGACTAAAAAATATACATTAGTCATATTTTAAGGCATACAATATTTGTATCAAAATAATTGTAGTTAGATCACGGTATGTACCTTTATTAACATTTTATACAGCTAAGTTTAGTTAAGAATATAATATAAATGTAAAACTACTATACAAATTTGGTTTTTTGTATGTATTAACATTTGTTCGTAGTTTAATAATTTATTAATAATACTTTTTTTTTTATATATTTCCGATTATAACAGTCACTTAAAAAAAAGGAGTGGTATAAGATTATAATTTATAAAATAAAAAAATTAGTATTTTCAAATATTTACTTTTCTATTTCTATTTATTATGTTTGATTAATTTACCATTAATTGATTAATCATTTTGCAAAAATATTTTAATTCTTATAAGTTTTGAGTCATAATATAATCAATAGCTTTAATTATTTACAAATTGTATTATATTTGTAAATGTAAATTTGTTATGGAAATAATTTATTTCATTTACTTAAAACCATATTATTATTCAAGTTTATTAAAAAATATGATTAACATACTTTATAATTTATTATTTAATTTAATTTACACAGGCAGCAAACCGTGAAGTTCAGTATTGTAGCTTACATAGCTTATGATATAGTAAGCATCTTTGAAAAGGAATGAGAAATTTAATTATTTGATAGAAAAAAATGATTAAATTATAATATAAATTTAAATATTTTATCTATCAAATAATTTTTTATATAAAAATTATATAATCATTTTCTATTTGAAAATTTTCTATAATTTATATCTGAAGACAATGACTACACCAAGAAGAGAATTTCTTCGTAGACCAGATGTTCCCAGGAGAAGATCAGCACGACAGGCTTTGGCTATGATTCCTGATTCTACAAGTACAAATGTGTCTCCAGGTATGTTTTATATTATTAAATAACTAATGACTTTTAATAAAAGTCTTTAATAAAATTAGTTGTGATATTTTTAATTTATTAAAATATGTATTTAAGATTAAAATGAAACTGAAGTTAAATAAATATAATATTAAGAATAAACTAACATAAACATATGTTTTGACTTTGAGAAATAATAGTTAATTTATATATATTACATAGTTAATTAATTCTAGAAACAAGTTAATTAAATTTAATGCAAGTAACAAAAAAACTAAATATAATATAAATTCTGTATTTGTATGTTTTAAATTTTTTATTTTATTTTAACGGATAACATAGTTACTTCAGAAACTAATCGTACAACTAGAAGGTATAGCATGGATTCTTGGACTTCAGCTCCAAGTCCTGATGAGCTTGTTATACAAAAGCGTGGAAGACGAAGATCAATTGTTTGGTCACCTGATATCGATTCAATTAAACGAGAAAGTCTGTTCAGGTATTAATGCAATTTAAATTAGAATCATTCACATATAAAATATAATTTTGTAATAATATTTATTAAATAATATATTATAAAGGAAAGTCATTCATAATACTAATTTAATTAAAAGATTGCATAACATATTATTGATAATTAAATTTTATCAATTTATTATCATTGAAAATTTTGTTAAATCTTAGCTTCTTTGAAATAATTTACATTTTATTCTCATTTAGTTATCCTAGTATAGTATTAGTCATTAAAATAAAAATTATTTAGAAAATTCAATAAATTAAAATTATTAATTATTTGGTAATGTATTATATTTGAATATAAATAAATATATAATTCTTAAAATACTATAACCTTATTATAAAATGGGATAATTTCAATTTTAATCTATACATTATGCTTTAGAGATCGAACACCTATCAAAAGTCCAACAAAACATCAGTCAAACATTATAATAAAAGGTACTCCTAGAAAGCGACTTCATTTAGGAGATAATGATATTGAAATGGTCTCACATGAAAAAAAGGAAAGGCTACTTTCTAATAAACAATTTACAGGAAATTTGGCAAATGGATTAAGAGGTTTAAGTCATGACCAATTAGTTAAGATGATAATGGATTTAGTATCGATGCAAGAAGATAAACTAGTATCATCTAATGATAAATTACGTGAGATTATTTTAAAAAATATGCCAGTAGCTGATATACAGCCATTGAGAGAAAAATTAACTTGTTTAAGGCAAAATGTGTATGCTAGTCTAGTATCATCAAATTTAGATGAATCTGATTACAGTCGAGCCTATGTACATTTAGATAATTTTCAGGTAAAAAATATTTTTAGGATACCCATCAAATGTCATACCTTTAAAAAATGTATATATTTAATTAATTACTTGATTTTTTTAAACATTTTGTATTTATGTATACATTATAATTTTTTCACAAATAATACTAAATGTTCAAATATTTAAAAAACTATGAACTAAAATTCATTTTTAGTTGGTAAAATTCAGTTTTCATAGAGTAACATTTCTTAATAAAATTTAAAAACTTATGTCTAAAAAGTATTATAAATATACTTATAAAGTATAAATTTTGTATAACAATTTATTTTAGTTGGTACATTCATTAAAATTTTTTAAATTGTTTTAATAACATCTATACTAATAATAAATAAAACGATTCATATGCATTTTAAATTAATAATAAAAATTTGTTTTCCATCAAATATAATCATTATATTGATATTTGCGTTATATACGTGTATTAGAATTTCATTTCCATAAATTTCAAGATTTCCTGTGAGTTGGGAAAAAAAGTTTAAATTAAAAGGTAGATTAGATAGAGGATTATTCAGTATTATTATCAAGTATATAAACTTTGTTTATTGTATATAAATTTATATTAATATATTAATTAAACATACTTAATTTAAAATGCTAACACTGAAACTATAATTAATTAAATTATTCAAAATTCTGATATATTTATTTGTTTTATACAACTAATTAAATTTTGTACCTTATTAATAATTGTATTTTGTTTGAAAATATATAAAATTTTCGAAATTCAATTTAAATTTTAGCTCTTTTTTTATACTTAACAAACTTAAAACAGGAAAAATTTATTAAAGATTCATTTGCCAAATAGTATTGTTTATTATATTTATTATTGATTATTTCATTTTATATTTGTTTAATGTCTTGAATTTTAAATTATAAAATGTGTGGCTTTGTGTGGTATATGTTATTCAGAAATCATTAGTAAAAATATATATATATATTGGTTTACAAACTTGTACCTTGTAGACTTGTAATAATATACTATTTCTTTAAAATTGTTTTAACAAACATTTGTATTATGTATAAATTTATTAATTAAATTAATTATTTATAAAAGTAAATTTAATATAAATCATAATAATTATTAATTAATAATTATAAACAATCACTAAATAATATAAATAATGGACAAATTAATTTCTGTTACAATTACTAATTGAATACCAATTTCATAATAAATTGAAAAATGAATATAATGCTCTTTTTTTAATTTTTTCTGGTAAATTAAACAAATTTTTAAGTTTAGTATTAGCAAAATTTAAATATTAGCAACTAGTATTTTATAGAAAAAGATAAATATTTCAATTATGTAATTCTAAATTTACATATATTATTAAATAAGAAATTTGAATTTTTTTTATATATTTTTTAACTTTGAATTATTCTAATGTCTTGTTAAAGTTTATTATAGCACATTTTAATACTCTAAGATATTTATTTAAAAAGTTAAAAGTAATTTTATAAATTAAAAATTTGGTATTTTAATAAAATAAAAAATAAATTGTATTTTATTATATATTATAACTTGTATATTTATTGGTATTTTATGTTTGATGTAGTTTTTAATTAAAGAAAATTTTTTAAAATTATGACCTTCGGTTTTTTTTATTATTATTATGTTTTATTTCTTAGAATTGAAAAACTAGAATAAAATAATTGATTAAATTTTCAAATTTTTTAGACACTAGCGTATAATATGTATATAATATTATATATACGTGAAATTGATAATTATATATGTATATATGATAATTCGTATATATCATCTGTACATGTATAATTTTTTCGTAAGCATTTTGTATAAAAAATTTATTTCATTGTATTTCTTAATAAATAACATATTGACAGAGCAAAATATAAATTGTCAGCGTTCTAATAAAATAATTGAAAATATATATTTAAAATAGAAAATTAAAAATGTTCAACTTTAAAGATAACAATTCTTTTTAAAACATCAAGTATTTATTTCAGATAGAATTTTTTTTAATTGTTGTCACCATTATTTAATTTAAAATAATACATTCACTATAAATTTAAATTTTTAACTTAATTAATTGTTATCAGTATAGATATTTGTTCCTTCATCAACATTCTTAATTTATTTTTGATATTGTAGTAAGCATTTTTCTAAGAATTTATTTAATTTTTACTTTGTATTTTGAATATTTTAGTTTTTGGAAAAAAGAGGACTTAAAAAGTGAAGCCTAGAATTATAGCCCTCCCACTTCCCTTTTCGATCAACGTCCGACGAAAGGTCAGTACGTGCCAATTGCTTTTCAAGTTTCTCATTCAATTAATTTTCATTATTTCAAAATTTTAAACAAAAAACGTAATAAATTCAAAAAGATTTTCTATAATAATAAATATATTTCAAACATAAAAACATAAGTTCAGAAATTTTTATTTCAAAATTATTAATACCAGTATAAAACTAATATTGAATCGGTGTCCCTATTACAATTTATTCTTCTAGCTCTAATTATACTGTACAGATAGATTACTTAAAAAATGTCTACTTATTGTAAAAAAATTTTAAATATGCTCAACTTATGGTAGATACTTGGTTTATATCTTTGGTTTTTTAACTTAAATATTTGTTTTAAATTGTTAACGTTAACAATTAAACAAATTCATTTAATTCTTTTAAATCGTTAATTTTTATTATTTATTAAATTAGTAAAATGTATATGTAATCGAAAAGTTTTTATGAATTATTTTTCATCTTCTTGATACTTATTTATTGAAGGGTAAAATTTATAAACAAAACCCTAGCTTATTAAAGTAATAAATAAACTGCCATTTTGAGAAATGAAATATTGATTCATATTAAAATCTTCAGGTATTTAATGTTATTTTATTGAACATATAATATAATTATTTAACATTAAACTATTTTGAATGTTACTAGTTGCAATATATTCTTTTATATAATATAATAACAATTTTGAATTCTAAATAATATGTATAATAATTTATATGCACGAAATATTCACAATGATTATTTATTTTTATTTAAAAAATCTTTAAATATTACGATTAGATTATTAAATAAAATTAGGTTCAAATTTCCTTATATAATGTAATAACTTGTATTATATGTATATTATTTTTAATATATCAAGAAACTCAAACATTTATATTCATTAAGGATTTATATTCGAAATTATATAAATTTTTAATATTATAAATTTTAGTTTCTTTTTCGTTTTTAAAATAATTTATAAAAAGGTTATTGATATATTAATTATAAATTTTTATGAACATGATATTGGCTTGTGGTGAATAAATGATAATCATTAATATTATTATGAATATAAATATAAATTGAAAATAAAATGCCCTTTCAGTTTAGAAAATAAGAAACTAAGAATTTCTTTAATTTGAATATATGAAATTGTATACTGTTGTTTTTATAAATCTAAATCATATTCTACATATTGATAAATATTAAATTTAATTTATTTCATAAATAGCTACTGCTGAAAAGATATTTAGTCAGGTGTATTTAAATAAGAATAATTTAAATTGTATCAAAATGTATACAAATAACAAATTATTTTAATATCTTAAAATTGGATATTTTTATGCAAGTTTGATAATGATATTTCTTAATGTTAAACACGTAAAAATTTGTACATATTAAATAATTTTAAATAACTATATAATAATAATAAATTACATAATTTTTTGTTCTATATTATTTGTATATTTAGATATGAAGATAAGATATAATTAATTAAAAATGTTATATTATATGCAATAGTTGAGATAAACATAGATTTAGTGGATTTTCTTAAAAAACAAATCATGTTTGTAATTATTTAATGAATATTTCATTAAATATGCCATAGTGACGAGTTGATATCTAAATAATTTCTTCTAATTTGCAAGGTATATTTGTAATTATCCAAATTTATGAATAAATATTTTAGAATATTAAAATAAAATATAATTAGGATATTTTTAAGTTTAGAATATGTAAAAAATATTATTTAGTAAGTAAAAAAATTTAATTTTTAATTTATCACTACACAATTGAAATATTTATTTTTTTGGTAATTATTTAGCTGACAAAAAGTTTATGAATACTATTTGTAATCAGAAGACGAGAAAATATTTATACATTTTATATTAATATTTTATAAATAAATTATATATCGTTTTATGCAATTCATTTTTTTAACTACTTTTGTTTACAGAAAGCGTTAAAAGAACAGGGACTTAATCTCATAGAATCTCAACATTGGACAGCTGTAATTCAATATGTTTTTGCTGCGTGGGCAATTACAAAAGATCTTCCAGAGTGGAAAAATCAAGGAATGCACAGTACCACTCAAAAGTGTTATAAAAACCTGACAGAATTCTGTATACAGGCATTAAAAAATGGAACATTTGCTCCAACTACGTTAAATCTTTATAAAGAAAAGTATTTATTAAAACAACTGTAATAGTTTTAATCATAACATTATAACTAAATAGGTTATTACTAATCCATTTAAATTCTTTTTCAGACTTCGAACAATGTTGGATGATTTCAGTGATATTAAAGTTTGTTTGCATTTTGTGAATGGTGCAAGTGTATGACATATTTGAAAAAAAGATTCCTCACGTGATATATTGATATATATATATTACTTTTAATGTTTACGTTTTAAATGATTTTTATTATTTTATGATGTTGATTGGATAAATTTATATCCCAACTTGACAACATCTTTTCGGATGTGGAATTGGCTTGATAATAATTTAATTTAATAATGTTAAGACCTCTTATTTCAGTTAATTAATGACAATTACATTATGAATATGTATACTTTTGAAAAGTATTATTTTTATAATTTGACTATTATAGACATTTGTAATATTGTTTAATTTATGAAGTACTTTTATGAGATCGATAATGTACCCAGTGTTCGTCTTCTTTGATAGTGAAGTTGATATTTTGTAAACCAAATAAAGGATATAATATTTTAATTATATTTATGTAAAGCTTTGAAAAATAAGGTGAAATATAAAGTCTATAGTCATTTGATGTATTCTTTTATTATAAACGATTTTTCATTTTTTATATAATATCAGGTAATAATCTTAATTTTTAAATTTATTATTACTTGTAAAGGCACATGATTTATTAAAAATACTTAAGCTATGATTCATTGTCGTAGATTCTCAAATATGTTATCTGTGCTAGTAAAATTTTCAATTATACTATTATTACGTTAAAAATTATATACAAAATCAAATTAAAAGGAAACATTTGATTAAAGTTGTAGTTTCTAAAGTTTCTATGAGTGTTTCGACTATAACAATTTAAATTGTTAAATATTTCTACTAGCAAGTTTACATTTACATGAGTATAGTTTCAGGAGCGTTTCTCAAATCCGAATAACCAGTCGGATTTAAAAATTTTTCCAAATAAACTTATAATATTTAAAAATTTGACTTCATCTAAACTGAAACATTTAGAAGAAACAAATACAAAATTTAAGTACATACACAAAATAATGTACTCCATATTTTCTTTGGAGCATGAACAAATTTCATAAAGTATGAAAATTACTTAATATAATCTTAAAATGACCATACAGTGAAATTCTTATAAAACTTATAGATTAAAATATATTTAATTATATTTCAAAAAATATAAAAAAAATTCAATTTTTGGAACAATACAGAATCCATTAGAATATTTTTGATTCAGTTATTTTTATAACTATAATAATATATTTAAAATAACTATTTAAAATTTCTATATTTATAATATACTTTTGATATCTAAATATATATTAAGATAAACATTTTGGATTGTCATATTATTTCAAATTGAATTTCACTGCATGGTTAACGAAAAATTATTGCTACATAGTATTGTCTAAAATATCAACAATGCGAGTGACATTTTTTTCATTTTGTAATTATATAATAACAATTTATAGGATATATAAATATGTACAAAAACGAGTAATTAATGATGTAATTAAAGGTTTTTTCTGTTAATCACTTCTCTTGTTGTACGTTTAAAAATATTACTATTAATATTTTTAATAAATAATAAATTCCATTTGTCAATTGCAAAAAGTGAAAAAAATAGCAATAAATTGCTTAACAAATGTACCGATATAATTTTAGTACACGCGTATTAATAATTTTTTCTTGTTTTTTCCCTTTTTAAAATTAATATAAATCAGTTTCGCATAAAAACAATTTGATTATACACAACGTTTATCTCGTTACGTATTACAATATTTATAATATTATAAAGCTGCAAATAGAATACTGTGGTAATAAATATTTGATTGATGTAAAACTTGTAATTATAATATTTTTCTCAGTCTGATTTTGTTGGTTGCACTCTTGGATATAACTGAAAAAAATTTAGTATAAATTTTATTTAAGACAAGTCATTCATGATTGAAATTATTTATATTTTTATAGTTAATAATACAAAACAAAACTTTCTATTCTCCATAAAATATACAATTTTGTATAATATTTTTAATAATTTATACGTTTCTTATGTTTTGCAACAAATTTTTTTCTAAAATAATTGATTTTCTAAGTTTTTTCTTTACATTTCAGGTTTTTTTATTTCTTTTTAAATTAATCTATTATTAAATTTCGGTTATTAAAATTAAATACTTTTTCTTAATTTCAAAATTTTTTTTATTCTATAATAATTTTATGTTTTGATAAAATAAGGTTTTTTTATCTTTATCTTTTTATATTAATTTATTTTTGCAAATTTTGATAATTTTAATCGATGTTTATATTTAATTTACTGTTCCTTTTTCTTGAAGATATTACGTTTTTATAGTTATTGGAACATGTTATTTGTTATATTGTCAAATCATCATATGCTCTTTTTCTTTTTCTTTTATATTTGTTTACTTTTTTTACATTAATGTTTAAAATTTTTAAATTTCTATTTCTGTTTACTTATATTTTAATTTATTTGTGTTATTTTTAATGATTTTACGACTTTTTGATCTTATCAATTTTTTATACTTGCTGATTAGAAATATCCTAAAATATAAATTTTCTTAATTGTATTTAATTTTATATTTCTTTGCATTAACCTTTACATTTTAAGTTTCTAACTAAAAAAAAACTTTGATTTGTTATTAAGATGAATACATTCAAAATAAATCTTACAATAAATAAATGCTATTAATTTTTCTTTTATTTTCTTTTGAGTAATTTCTTTTTTATAATTTTTAAATTTTGCTACATTTTTAAAATTGCACATTTAATGTTATTAAATTTTCAATTATTTATTGTTATTTTTTCTACAATACTTTGTTCCATTTTTTGCACTTTTTATTTAAAATATGTTAAAAACTTCCTCTTTTTTAATTATTTTTATAATGATTATATACTATACTATTGTAAAATATACTTACACCTAGTAAGTTTCGAGGAACATAGCCTTCTCGATGTCCTAACTTGCTCCACCACCATTCTCTCTCATTATCATCACCTTTTCGTAATATTACTAAAGAATCACCAATTTTTAAGGAAAGTTCATCGTTGTGTTGAGCATCATAATCGAACACAGGAAATACCTGTCCATTATTCATAATACCAAGTTTTTCTTGAACACCTATACAATAAAGTAGTAATGAATATGTTACTGTTTTTTTAATAAGTACATTTTTAAATATAGATTAATTTATTAATTTTGTGCTCCAACAAAAATAGTTATAGTCATAGAAAAATTATAACAAATAATTGAATGAATTATTAAAAATGTAAATTTCTTATATTTTAATTCAAAATAAATTGAGTAATTATTTGTAATGACTATTAATTATATTTATTAATCTCATATATTTAAATAATAACAATATATTAAAAACAAAAGTATTGTTTGATATAATCAAGATGAATAAAATTTTCGAATATTTAGTTAGTCTAAGTTTAGGTCTCTTTGACAATTGAAAAGAAACAACATTTATTAATTAGACAAATAATAATTATTTTAGTACATTAAGAGTAAGAAAAAAAATATATAGACAGAAGGAATTTAAAGTATCTTAATTTATAGGTATGTGTCAGTTTACAGAATTGACATCGATAAGCCATCAGAGATTTATAATTTAGGAAGAAGTAGAGTATACACAAGCATACTATGTATTCGTTACAACATGCGAAAACAAACGGTTCCGTATAGGGATTAATTACCTACAAGATAATTTGCCCTTTTGCAATATATATAAAGCTTGAGTTATATGAAAAAAGAGATAAATTTTTAATTTATAATCATCGAATAATTTATTATTTTAATTTATCGGCACATAAGAGTTAATGCAAGAGTTTTTCATAGTTTTTAATTTATAATACTTTTATAATGTTATACTAACTATACAAATATTCGGAACATCCGTCAAAACCTTCCTCATCTTCTTCACATTTTTCTGCTGCAGTTTCATGATCTGAAAGTGTCGTAGCAAAAATACATGCACCATGCTCTACTAAAAATCGTACCATTGCTAAATTATTGCAACTTGCAGCACAGTGTAAAGGTGTCCTAAAATATAAATAAATATAATTATTTAGAAAATCTTTATTTTCATATCTGTACTTCTATATAATTAAATAATTACATTTTTAATTTATATTACTTTATGATTAATTAATATGAATATATTTATCTGAATATAATTCATTAAAAAACATTTTAATTAAGGCATGGTTAAATTGAAAGTTCGTCATTTCGTTCATTAATTGAAAGTGAGCATAAGACCATTCGATTCGATTACATAAAATCACTCGATAAAATTATATGAAATACTTGTACTATGTTAATTAGTTCTTCAAGATTAAATGAAGAAATTCCTAATGGACCAATTGTAACTTGTATTTACACGGATGTATTACATCTACTTGAATACGCGTATTAACAATAAAAAAAAGAATTATGGACATTGAAAATATTTGTTGTACTAATTTTATAAATAGAAAAATTAAGCTAATTTGTTTTATATTTTTTAAGAGTATTTTATATTAAGTATTATGATTTATATTCTTTCTTTATTTAACTATTATAAAATAAGATAATTGTAAATTCAAATATGCATACATACATATATATATATATATTTATTTAACATCGTTGAATATATAAATTCCAATATTTTTTTTAATATTATATAACCTTAATATTAAATTCTAAATTTATATATTAATTCTTTTATAGTTTTAAAAAGTAAAAAATAATTACAAACATAAGAAAGAAATTCAAGTATTAAAAATTGAAAATATTAACACACAACTTTTTTCATGTCTTTAGCGAAAAATTGTTTAGGAAATTGATAAAACTCTAATATTAATACGCATTTGTTTTAACAACTGCATTTTATTTCATTGGTAATGTGTGTTTATTTGCTCAACAGTTTAGTGAATTTTAAGCTTAAGCGTTCAGAAAAATAAAAGTAAATATAAATTGCTTATAATTTACGCAAATATTATTTTGAACAATACTTTTTAAAAAATTTAAGCTAAACTAATTCTTTAAAAAACAAATTCAGAATTACAAGAAATTTCGTACCATCCATCGCTATCTTGAGCATTGACATCGCATCCGAATTCGACCAGGAATTTGACAATTTCGAGATGTCCAGCGCAAATAGCATTATGAAGAGCAGTAATACCTTCATCATTGGCTGAGCTTGGATTAGCTACTTCATTCGCTGTTTTCTTTACGAGTTCTAGCTCTCCTTCAAGGCTAGCATCAAGCAATAATGCAAGTGGATCAAAACTGACTCTCCTTGAAAGATTCACTTTGCCTGTTGTAGATTTAAGATTTCCTTTTTTACGTCTTATTACATCTGTAGCTAATTTAGCAACATCTATTTCAATCGTTTCAGATCTAGAAAAAATGACAAAAATTATTTTATATGTAATGTCTTGTTTCAAGATATGATAAGACAATTTATTTTTATTAATTTAAGACTTCATTTTGTCATAGAAAAAATATTAAATAAAATATATTAACAAAATTATAGACACTATAACTATTTATATTTATTTATAAATATTTTTTATTTAATTTTATCGATATTATTATCTTATACTTTCAACTTTAATCTATATGAAATCCATATAACATAAATATTTTTGTAAAAGCATTATTTAATTTAATAATGATTTATAAAAATTAGAATATTGTTGTCTAATGTAGATTACACATTATTTTATATAAGAAATGGGGATTCGAATTATTCAATATTGAAATTATTATATAAAAAGTAGTAAATTAAATTTAATAATGATTTAAAAGTCACCAGTTAAAGTTTTATAAGATATACCTTATAGTTTTATTTGTATTTTGCTATCGATCATTAGAGATCACTATAATTCGAAAGATTTAATAATCGTACATTGTAATTTTTATTAAATATAAATATTCATATCAAAATTGTGGAAAATATTATGCATTCTTTAGAAAGGATTAAGTAATGCAAATACAAATATATGTCTATTTATAATCGATACAATAAAATCTACAGAATTTACAAGACTTTAAATTTAAGCAAATAAAAAAGTTTAACAACTTTTCATCGTATTTCATGTTCATCAGTGTCATAAAAATTCTCAGTCAAGTTTAAATATTCCTTTTCTAAATCACAATATTGCTCAAAATATTTTCTTAAAATAACATATTTTTAATACAGAAGAATATTCATTTCTTTCGATAGTTACAAAGGAAAAAAATTAATTTGGTTAGAATAATTTATATTAAGTTTAGTTGAGTTCTGAAGATGGTATAAAATGGTCTACATTGGAGTATTTCTTTATTTTATATTTCAACATAGTGAACTAACTATGTCACCTGTAATTCGATAAATAAAGTCTGGAATAAATCTTCTCAGGTTCTTCTATTACATTTTTTACTTCGCTTTTATAAACACCAAGTACATGCCAAGATGCTCCTTGAACTTCCTCTACGAATCACACTATCAACATATTTCTTCCGGTACAGTTTGCAATATTCAGATAATACCCAGTCTATTGGTATCTTAAAAACTACTATCAGTAACCAAAAGATATTTCTATTTAGCTTTAATTTAATTTAAAAAATTTCTTAATTTTGTAAAAATTATGTCTTATTTCCGAGTTCACACGTTCATTACATTCATTTTAAATAATACGATAATGTATAAAGTAGAGAGGGAAATTTTTATATTATTATAATATATGAGATAATATATACATACTTTTCAAAATTGTTTTTTTTGTATTTTTCTTTTCAAATTTATTTCTACATATAAAAAGAAAGTATTTTGTAAATATTGAATGTAAAGAGTATTAGTACGAATACCAAATTTTTAACTAAACCGAAATAATTTGAAGTCAACGCATTTTTTTAAAACTTAGATGTACAGAATATAAATGACTGAAAATTGTTTAAACAGTACATAATAGTTTTTAAATATTAATTGAATTGATTTTATAGTTTATTCATTCAACATTTTATGAATATGACTATTTACGTTAGATACTTTAAAGGGCCAAGAAATTTTGTTTAATGCAATTCTATATTGTAATGGAATTTCAGAATTAAGTTACCAAGTTAGAAGCAATAGAAATTGTTTAATTATTTTATATCCATTATACAAAAGTTATATATTATCTTAATCGCGTATAGAATAAATATATTTATTTAGTTTTTTTATTTTCTTATTTACTGTTTTCAATTTATTATTTATATAAAATTATCTTCATTATATACTGTAATATTTATACATAAGTAATATGTTACTTATTGCAACTTATTTAAAAGTGCTGATTTATAAAACAGCTTTCGGTAATTTTTTATTAGCATTTTAATAAATTCAGAAGATTCCAATATAACTTTCAAGTTCTTTTCTAAGATTACGAAATATATCATGTAACTTTTATAATATGAATTTTTGTTTTTTATTTCTCTAAAACAATGAATATTAAAATTAATATTTATTTCAATTAGAAATTACATTTACCGAAAACAAAATAAAATGAATAAAATATACACTCACTGTAGTTTGTGATTTTCAGCATTAATGATATTGAGAGCATCAACGATGTCCGAGTCCTCTAGATTTTCGTTACAGACAACTTCATCATCAGCAACCGGATTAATAATCAGTCTTTTTATAGAATTGCTGTCTGTGACATCAGTTGGTTGCTGTTGCTGTTGCTGTTGCTGCTGTTGTTGCTGCTGTTGTTGTTCAGTTTGCATGAGATCCGCAGGAATTTCAGTCTCAGGAAAAAGAAAGGCGGGAGGCATCTCAATACGTCGATTTATCGATACATGAACGTTTGATTTTGCGTAACGAAGTTTTGGTTGCTCTGAAAGCGGTACTTTTTTCAAGCTTAATGGACGAGCCTTAATTACCTGATGTAGTAATTGCTGCTGCTGTCCGTTCAATTGAGAATCTGTTGGAGATTCGGGAGGTTCTGATTTCGGAATTGGTGGAATTAAATCTTCTTCCTTTTCCACTCTATAAAATAAATGTTGATAAGTCGAAAATAAATGCAGCTTACTATAATGTAAAATAATATTTATATATATATATATATATATATATATATATATAAAGTGCAATATAAATTACTGAAAATTGTAATTATTATGCTATTAAGTTATTAATTTATTAAAAATAATATTAAAACTATTTTATAATATATTTGTTAAAATTTTTATAAATATCACATTTTCGTATCATATAAATTCATATTTTAATTTTAATTTAATGTTTATAGTTAAAAAATTTTAGTATATTCAAAGTTACTAAAATTTATGTTAATAATGAAACCTGTTAATTACATAAATATAATAAATTTTTAATTATATTTACATTTATTTCTAATTCTAATAATATTATTAATTACATCTTATTAAATTAAATGTACTATATTTAAATATTGAAAGTAATGAAAATACCAATTTTTTATGGAATTAAAGATATCAATATACATTCATTTTATAGTTACATGTATTCGTTATAATAATATTATATTCAAAATAATTTTTGGATGAAGTTATAACAAATATATATATTTTATAAATCTGTAAAGTTTAGCCTTAACCTGTTTAGAACACAATAATATATATATTTGGCATATTCTTAGTAATGTTTTAATTTTTAATCATTTAATATGTATTTCAGTTTTTATATCGTATATTTAGATATATAAATTATATTTACAATATTTTGTAAAATTAACAAAAATTATTGTTAACTTGTATGTGAATTAAAAAATGATAATATATGTTTCCATAGCTTATAATTTTAGAACTATATAATTTGAAAAAATGAAAGGTTATTTATTATAATTTTATTTAATAAAATATTATACTAAAGCAATTAAATTTTCAATAATAATCGTTTTATGAATTTGTTACACGGTAGTATACTTTTAATTATTTTAAAATTGGAAATATTTTCAAAATCAGATTACATGTTTTTTTTCATCCTAAAAAGTAGTGCAAACACATACGTAAATTTAGCCATTTACGAGATTAAAAGTTTGTACTAGTTTTCTTTAATATTCAGATGATAGTAAAAATAATATAATAATTTTACAATACGCATTTAAATATATAAATGAATATTTATTCTAAGAACATTATGTTTTGTTTAACGTATTATCATAAATTTAATATATAATCATACATCGTATAACAAATTACAAATTTTAAAATTAATAAATCTTATTACTATACAAAATTATAAAATTATAATTACGGATCTATAATATATATATTCGTGTAATTAAGAATTAATATGTAATGAAGTTTTTATAAATATCTTATTATCTTATAAATATAAATATATAATTAAATATAGAAGTTTAAAATTCAAATGTTTAGTTATATGTAAAATAATTTAAATTTATTATATAATCTTTCTATATCAATGTATATCATTAGTAAAAATATTTTAAATTATTTAGTTAATTTGCTTTGAGATTTAATAAATTTTATTTTATATTATAAATTATTTTTTAATGTTATATTATATTTAAAAAAAGAGAAATTATTTATTAATAAAAAAAATATATGCTTATAGTAATAAATATAAAACAATATTTTAATATTAATTTAACATGAATTTTATCAATAAAATTTTACTAAAAAAGTGAAAATTAAATATTTTCTTACATTTATTTCATATAGAATGCAATATATATTAGGCCTTTGTATGTAACAAAATATTAGATCAACTTTTAAACTATAAACTAAGTTTGCGGTGTTTCATAAATGTATGAATATTTCAATAAATATATACATGATTTACTCACTTTAAAATTGAAAAAAATTTTCAAATTAATACACTATAACAGTTTTTAATTCTCTTCTTTCGTAATTATTTTAAAAATTGTCACTGTACACTTGATACAATACATGAATTAAAAAAATAGAAAAAGAAAAAACCGAAGAATGATGAAAAAATTAAGTGTGCATATAAACATAGCAACAAATAATCGATATTTATGAAAATAATTCTTAATAAAGATCATGTTAAAAAATGCATAAAGTACTTTGCGTGCAAGCGATTATGCAGATTACATATGGCAAGTTCATACCCTTTCTGATCTCTCTTTTTCTTTCTTTCGCTCACTCTTTGTCTGTCTTATGCTCTTTCGTTTCCTTTCGTTCACACGCACATTTACATATTGGAGCGCACACATATACGCGCACATATACAAAACTCAGGTCTATCGTAATAAAGAGAAAGGGAGATAATGATAAATTTGAAAACACAAAGAAAACATACGTCAATATTTTACCACTACTCAAAGTACACGCGTGTTCTATTTTCGTGTCTATTATTTGCTAGGCAGTACGGAGAATCTAATGAGATTCATGTTCTCGAGGAGTCAGCCAAATCGATCGTGTACTCATTAACATTTATAATTAACCCAGTAAGGTAGCGTGCGCACACTTGTACCCTTGTAATTAAATAGAAAGAAGGGAATGTTAAAATCTATTGTAAGTTTTATTTCACATTGTAAAAGATTATTCACGAACATCTCAAAGTTGAATATATTCAATTTCGCAGGCTATTTTTTGTGATAAAGGGTATAACTTTCAATTTGAATTAAAATAATGGAGCTCTCAAAATTGCTATATATAAATATTATTTGGCATAATGTACACATTCCGTTAATAGGAGTCTAAATAAAAATAATGATATTATTTGCATTACTGAAAGAGTTATGCTAATTTATAAGGCTTAAATAAGTATTTTAAAATGCGTTGTACTTAATTATTTATATCATTTGATAAAAAATTTAAAGCGTTGTTTTAAATGAAACTATTACTCGAAAGTAAGAGAGTAAAGTTAAATAAATATAATGTGTAATAATTTATCATACATAAAATTAGATCGTATAGTTTATTATTTATATAATAAACTTTATATATAATAAAGTTTTCTTTAATAATTTGATTAGTACGTCTTGTTATTCGTATACAAAAGTTCTTCTTACATGAGCAAAAATTTTTACTAAAACATAATATTATTATAGGCAATAAAATCTGAGTAGTTATTAATCTATTTGCAAAAAGTATTTTTCCCATAAAATTTTAATTAAATTTTATACATTAAAAAAAAAAAAAAAGATTTAGTACGAAAAATTTAAAAATTTTATACTTTAATTACAACTGAGTAAAGCAAAAAGAAATATAATTATAAACTAAAAATTACTTTAGATATTTTATTTGATTAATTAATTCAAAATGTTGCGACTTTTTCCATTTAATCTGATTTTAAAATATATTGATTAATATACTTTATAAATACATACATAACGAAAATTAATATAACATTAGTAGTATACTCGTTAATTATCATTAATTTAGTTATTATTATTAAACATAATTATTTTATTTCTCTAATCAATTATGTCTTATTACAATCCAATGAGTAAGAGAGAATTTTTTTTAGACAACGAATACATAATTTTTCACTACTTTCACTATAAATGTACTACAATTATTAATATTATATTTAAAGTTTTTCATTTTTATTTTGCATTAGGTTGTGAATTGTGAAAAGTTTACACTTATTTTTAGCTACTGAAACTTTTTATTATATGTAAAAAATGTGATTTTTCCATATTTCTCCAATTCATGATTTTGTATTTTCATTTTACTCGTACATTTGTTTAAATAAATAAAGATAACTTCCTTTTATTATATTTATATTATATTTAATAGAACTAACTAACAAAAATAATAAGTAAGCAATATTACTATGTAGGCTAAATAATACAGATATAGAAATAGTATACATAGTATAAATGTCATATTGTGCATAAAATTTTATATTTTAATTTTCAATTTACTATTATTAAAATAGTAGATTTTTTAACAAAACATCATTAAAAACATCATTAAAATAATTTAATACATTTAAAATAAAATTTTAATTATATTAATAAAAAAATAAAGTGAATAAATAAATGTAAAAAAAAATTAATATTTATTCAATAATTTGTGAAAAAGCTTACCTTGAAGGTAAAGATACGTTGGATTGACCTTCAATACTTTCGGTATTGACATCAAGTTTGTCATGATGCTGAGTTAGACGCGGTGGTGGGTTAGGCTTACTCGGTTTCGGGGGTAGTGCTGGCTTCATTTTATCGGATTCTAATTTTGAATCTCCAATAGTGTTTGAAATATTTCTTTCATACTCAAAGGGTTTATCTGGTAATTTACTTGGAGGTTCAAATTTAGTAGTATGATCATGTAACTGTAATTGCTGTTCATACCTAAAATATTCATCACATTATTACATTTACTTCGGTAATTAGCATACTATATATGTTTCAATCGTGTCTTTGATTTTTTAAATCATTTACGATATTATATTAAAATATAATCAATTTATACTAAATTCTCTTTACCAATTACTGAAGAGTAAATAAAAGTTTATTTATTTTAAAGTTTTTATTATTAAATTGTAACATTACAGTAATTTATAAAATACATACTTTTATATTTTCTATTATCAAAGATTGTAGTAAATTTTTTAAAATAAGAAACTGTGCTACTAATGAATAGTAATTAACATATTAATATTATAATTACTGCACAAAATATATCTTTAAATCGCGATTTAAATTCGTTTAAGTTTAAAACATTTTAAAACATTATACATATATATTTATATGTATAATAAATGAAAATTATACAGATTTTTGAAAAATACTAAGTTATGTACTTTTAAAATAAATTAAAAACATAAAGTGTAAATATAAGTGTTAAAATTATATTTTAAATATTTTTTAATTAATAGTTTTGTTTTAAATATAGTAGGAGTGGAGCACAATTACTAAGTAAATACTTTTTCAATAATGATGTAAATTTTTTTTTTTAAGAAGATAAAAATTAAAATTTTACATCGAACTAATAAATAAATTTTTATAAATTATTGTGTAAATATTAATATTAATGAATAAATTACATAAAAGAAAATTGACTAAGAATCAGGTCATCAATGAGGTTTGAAATTAATATTACTACACAATTATCTTATCAAAAGTTGTCCAATATGCTTTAGCAATATTATTGTATTTTAATAAATGACCAATATCTATTTATTACTAATAATTAATCATTTCATTTTACTTATGTATTTATTAAATACTTTTATAATCCTACCTGGAAGTTACGTGATCAAACTTAGTTTGATTTTGCTCAGATTTAAATTGCTGTGAGTCATATTTGAAAGTTTGAGAATTATGCTCGAATTGCTGCTGTAATTTTGATGTTTGCTCGTGTTTAGTATTGGCAGATAACTGACCATGTTGTTCGAACTTCCCTACGAAATTTTGTTCAAAACGCGCATGTTGCTGCAGCTGCTGTTGGGGTTCTACTCCTATTGTTGAGAATAAATAAGAAGTTATTAAATAATTTTATGAATATCTCAATGAAGTTTAAGTAAATAAAATTGATTAAAAGAGGCATTCATTTTAAAATTATCTTTAAGTTTAAATAAATTAAAAAAATTTAATATTATCTAGACATCTTAATTAATATAGATTTAATTATATAAAATTTAACGTATAAATATTAGAGCATTGGTAAAAAGATATGTTTAAAAATTCAATATTTCTTTAAAAAATAATGAAAACTAATAATATTAAAAATAATATTAAAACAGAATTTTTTCTGAAACTATTTTTGTAATTCATCCTTATACGATAATAAATTATGTTTCTATATTATACGTGGAGTTATATATAAATTAATAGCATAAAATTAGTCATTAATATCAAAATTAATACAAATCCTTTTTTAATGATATATATATATATATATATATATATATATATTGATTATTCAATTTTCTCATTTATAAAAATAGTATAATTGATTTTTCCATTATTTTTTTTAGATAAACGTCAATGAAATTTCAATAAATTAAAAATATTGTACATCGAAAACAAATTTAAAACTCATTATAAATATATCTTGAAACTTATAAATTAAATTTTACTAGCTATTTTATATTTTATAATTTAAAAAATAAGTTGAAACACTGAAATTAGTAACTATTTATTAATGTTACAAAATGACGACTACACTAATCTGCTTTCATCAAGGAGCGGAGCAATGTAAACTTTACTAACACAGTAAATTAAATTTTTATCCTTATTTCGGGACCTTGATAGTTTATTTGATTTCCTATAATAGATTCAATTTAAAATTGTATTGGAATAGTTTTACACAGAACATTATATATTTCAGATGTCTAATTATGATTTGAGTGATGTATTCGATGCAGTGTTTAAAATCGTTTTAAGATTTAATAAAATATAATTATATCAAAAATTTACAAACCAGAAAGTCGTTCATCCTGACTTGGTTGCGTTGTTTGAGAATATCCATAATTAGAAAAAACTGAAACAGTATTATTTTGTACTAAACTGGGCGTATTTTGCGATTGATAAGTTGTTGTTACTGTCGTCGAAATGTGTGATGGAGCAGTATATTGTTGTGATACAGATGAGGGATAGTTATGTCGACTCGAAAAATCTTGCTGTTGTTGCTGGCCGTTTTGTATACCAGATATTACACTTACATTCGACTCTTGAATTAAAATAGTGTTCGTATTATTTAAGGACATATAATGACATTTTTATTATCTTATTTTATCGATACAATGCTTTAACATAATATTTATATACATTCTTTTAGAAATATAATGTATATTAATAAATGTACTTTTGTTTTACGTACTATAATTAAATTAGTATTTGCTGATTGAGAAAGTTCGAGAATAGATTATAAATATTTTATAAGTAGTTTATATTACTATAAATATACTGATTTATTAATTTGGAATAAGAAATTCAAATAGAAGATGAAGTTATATCAACAAAGTAGCTTTCATTTATATTTTCTCGATTCTTTTAATAATTATATTTTTAATTATATTATTTATATGAAGAAGTAATGTTCTTCTACATAAAAATAAGTACAGTGTATAGTTAAAAAAAAATTATTTAATATAAGCAGAATTAAATTAACTTAATTTACCTATTTGTTATTAATAAATTTTTTTTAAAATAGATAATAGTTATTGTAAAATAAAGTAAAAATTTCTATTTTTTTTAAACTATACATTTTTTAATAATTTTTTAAGGAAGTCAATAAAAGAAATTGGCAATCCATAATATTCAATTTTCTTAGACTTTATAAAATCATTTATAAATAACTAAAATTATAGTTTTTTATTATTACAATTTTTAACAATTATTAAATCAATATTTAATTTTAATAGAATATAAATTAAACAAATATTAATTAATAAAGAAATAAATTTTCATTATTAAAATATTTAGAAATTTGAAGTTAAAAAAATAAGGTAAAATTCAATATCATAACATACATTTAAATAAATAAATATTTATAAGAATAATTATTATTACAAAAATTAATTTATGCATAACAGTACATGCATAGCACTAAAATTCAAAACTTAATCATAATTGAAATTTTTCTTTAAATTTTAGGTAAATATTATTTAATATTTGTTTAATGTTAATATAAACTAGTACTACTTTTGTGAATATGTATTAACATATTTAATAAGTAAAAAAAATTAATTTATGTAAACGTTCTATTGTTAAAACTCATTTGCATAACAGCTATTTTAAAATAAAAATAATTTGCACATATTATATATATATATATATATATTAATAATAAAAATATCATAATACAATATATGACAGACACCCTTTACTCACCTCTATTATTTGGATTTGAAACGATACTATTATTACTAGTGAAACTTTGAGCTGCAGGATGTCCTCTACCAATCAGACTTAAGGTTTGTGGCATTACTGGATGAATTTTCATCGAGGAGGTTTGATAAATGGGTGATTTCACAGGAAAGCTTGGTGCAACACTGGATACAGGTTTTTGATGTGTCTGAACATTTCTATGATTTTGTCCACTCTGGTTATTTACAGACAAGTTTGATGATGATAAGCACGTCGAATTATGTTGTTTTTGTTGTTGATGTGCAAGTAATCGAATATTTTGAGTGGCACTTTGATTACTTTCAGTCTGGAAATTGTGATTTGTTGTATTGTTGTTATTGTTGTTATTTAAGTTGTTATTAACGTTGTTGTTGTTATTATTATTATTATTATTATTATTATTATTATTATTGTTGTTGTTGTTGTTGTTATTATTTAAAACTTGAGGATTTTGTTGGTTTGGCGAATTGATCAGTTGCTGTGTTTGATTGGTGTTTAATGGTTGTGATTGACCTACAAATGAGTTTATATATATACTTAATAAATTATCACGTTAAAAAGAGTAAGAGTGTATTGGGATTGTTTTTCAAAAACTTACCTTGAATATGTGATTGTGATTGACTATGTACAATTTGATGACCAAACTGTTGGAAATTTGTAGCTCTCTGTCCAATTTGTGATGCACTTGCACTGTGCTGTATTTTATTTTTGTTAACATCGTCATCACTCGCTTTAAAATTCACTGTGAACTTCGTATTGTATGGTAATGTTTGGTACTTCGGATCATTTTTGTTTAAGCTGAAGTCATTATCATTTGGTATGTGTGAATACGGTTCTATTGCAGCAATATTTCCAGTTGGTCTAGGTTTACCTAAACCCGTGGTACTGAAATCTAATTTAGAACTACTACTATTACCAGTTGTGCCATTGTTCGAACCTGTTCCATCAATAGTGTAGTTATTCGTAGATCGTATGATATTGTTGTCAATCATAACCGAATTTTGTTGAGCGAGTTGCTGGCTTAAGCGCTGATTGAGAGCTCGCTTACGTTGTAAGCGACCCTGGAGTTGAGCTATTCTAGCGTCAATCGATGCCATCTCTGCTTGACGTTGTGCTAATGCAAGACGCTGTTGCGAGACTACTTGGTTTTGTTGTTCATTCATTTTATTCCGATACTGAACAATAAGCAATAAATTCATTGTTATATTTCAAATAGTTTTCACAATATTAAATTGCTAATTAGTTTATTTCATTTATTAAAAACAATACATACAATATTATTATATTAACTTTTTCATAGGGAAGATATCAAATTAATTTGTATAAATGAGAAATAAGAAAAGTCCATCTTTTTCTAATTAATTTAATTTCATAATTATTCATAATATTTTTAATTGACTTTAAAATTACGTTACGGATTTCTTTAAATAATAGTACAGGAATAAACTTACGTGCAGATATAAATTAAGCGCATGGAGAAAAAAATAATTTAGTAGTTCAATTTATTATAGTTACATATAGGAATGCGATTTTTACAAATTAATTTTATTCTCCTTTAAACATAATTTATCTTTTATTAACAGAATTATATATTTCTAAATGAACTTTAATGGAAACATATTAAAAAAATTTTATTCAATACTGGATATTTTGAAATAAAAGGCAAAAATTTACGTTTATGAATAATTGAATAATGTTAACGCTATCTACTTAAAGCAATTACAAAAATTCATATATGCAATAAAACAAATAAAGGTGACATGTTTACTTACTAACAACTCTCTCCTGAGTTTTTCAAGTTCGGCACTTGCAGGAGTTCCAAGATGACCACTTGAATTTTGATTGGTCCCTCCATTGTGTCGACCTCTAAGCTCCTCCAACTGTCGTGTAAGCTCTTCAACCTTTGCCACAGCTAGTGAAAGTTCCTTCTCTTTTTCATTAAATAAAGCTCTTATGCAGTCCAGGTCAGAAGCTGCAATAAACGAAAAGAGATATATTTATGACACTAACAACGCAAATAATTAAAAAATTAAAAGTCTTTTAAACATTTTATTAGTTACCTTTATTATAGTAAAAATATAAATTTATATTTTACAAAGAAAACTTCAAAATATATTTTTACCTATGTATAAAATAAATAAAAGAAGTATGATGTAAAATATAACTTCTAATTTAATTTTTTACATTAAATTATATTTATTTATAATACATTGTGTTTATTAAACAATGCTACAATAAAATATTAATGATGTTTTGTTTTGATTTCTACATAAGTTGTAATTACTGGTTTAGTTTAATAAACTTTTTTTTTAATATTTTATATTATTTGATCCAATTATATGGCTTTTTAAATATTTTGGTTTTAAAAAAATTTAATTTGTCGTTTTTCAATTACGACACAAAGAATATTTTAATAATACCAATGGCATTAATAGAAATATTCATATTTTGACAATTTTAATAGTTTTATTATCTTGCGATTAAATCACTATATAAATAATAGAAATATATATAGTTTATACTTACATCGCTATTCATTCAACTATGTTTTAAAGTTATATACATATTCATTGATATAAAAAAATTTAATAGTGATAAATGAATGATTGTTCTATTATGAAGTGTTGTTTGTCACTTATATATATAAAGAATAATATATTTATTATGTTTAAAATAAGTTAACACATAAAAGTTTTTTAACGAACATTTCTAATGAAATGATTGAGGTATTATTTATATAGGTAATTTATACTTATGATTACACTGTTTAACTAAAATAAATCTATAAATTTATTTTATAATTAAATTTCTTAACCGCAAACAAAACATTTTTTGAAATATATTCTTACCCATGTATATATTTGTAAAAACGCTTGTTTATTATTTTTTCACTTTATATTTACTTTATCTATATCATAACGATAATTTTTTTACGTTATCTTAGGATGCTCTAAGATATACTGTACTCATATTCGTGAACATAAAGTAATGATAACTTTTTAAATATATTTTTAAGTTAAATTTCTATAAATAGAAAATATCTTTTATAAATTAAATATCCATCATTACTTCTAAGTCTTCATATATCTCAAACAATAAAATTATAATTATAAAAAAAGAAAGGTCGTTTTTAATAAATGTTCTTAAATACTAATTAAAAATAACTATATATAAAAATTTATGTATATTTTTCCCAATTGTGTAAGCTATTGGCATTAAATTACAACTAATCGATTGCTAATGAAAAATAAATTTGAAACATTAAATACAACATAATATATACTATTTCGTGCATATGATAATTTTGTATCATATAATTTCTAAAAATATATACATATTTCATTTGATTAAAAATCTAATTTCTTTCAAATATCAAAAATTTTGAATTATCCAAAAGTCTAACTGTGAATATATAGTTTAATTTTATGATATTTACATATATTTATGTTACTATTTATTTACATAATATGATATGAAATATAATTTTTAATAAAAGCAACGTATAATACATCATTTTTGCAAAACGAATCATAAATCATTTTTTATTTCGAACAGAACAAGTGAATATCTTAAAGAGATTACCTGTGCATAAAAGCCTTTGGTTTATGCCCTAACTATGCTTTATAGCTTACTTTTTAACATTTTGTCTTTTTACATTTAATCTATCTACAGTAGCATTATATTCTGAGCTATTATAAAACTATATAGAATAAGAAATTGAAACAATATACATATCTAAAAAAGCATAAATAATAATGAAATATGTAGCAAAAAAATAATACTTTCTTTTTACGAATTATTTAAAATTATCATTGTTTTGTTTAAAAAGATTTTAGCATATACTAATAAATGTAGTTAATAATTTTCATATATAAGGGATTGCGCTTGCTCGTTGTTTTTGTAAGATTTTGTTATCTTTTTGATATTTGAACAAGATACTTTTCATTAACTTAAATCAATATTTTTTAAATATTAGTTTTCCTCAGTTATTATTTAATTTATCTTCAATGATATCGACCATTTTTCAATTTGAAAAAATACATGCCAAATAATCATAATCAATAAATATTATTGTTATTTTCAAAAATTCTAACTGATTTTTTACTGAATTGATAATAAACTACATTATTAATTCTATTATAATAATTATTATTATTATTTTGTTGAAATTCAATACTTTTATGTATACGGACAAAACCTATTTTTAATATTAAAATGTATATATTTCTTTTTAAAAGTAATATATTATACATTATTTTTTATAATATATTTAAAATAAAGTTAAAATATATTTACATAAATTTAACTTAACATATTAACCTGACAAAATATTTAATTTAAAATTATAAAAATGTATACTTAATTTATTTTATCAAATATTCAATAAAGTGGCTAAAAATATAGAATGTGTAATTGATTGCATTAGGAGGAAGCGATATATATCAATAAAAGTTGGCAATACAGAAAATGAACCACTAAGTATTATATAAGTATTAGAAGCCACGAGAAAAATTTATGGTTATTATATAACCGCGACTCATACTTTTTCATAGCGTATAAGGTAGAATCGATCTGATATGATAGGCCGCATCTAATAGACCAATCGTAAAATCAAACTTAGATTTATAATTTTATTTGTCTTTTCATTACCTTTAAATAAAACATTAAAACTTATTCATGATTCGGTAAATTTTTAAATTATAATTCAAATTTATGGTTTTGAAATGTTGCTTATTTACTATTATGCTATTTTTTTAATATTTTTATGTAACTTAATTTATCTTACGAGTCTAAGATAAATTACAAATTTATCTATATAAATTAAATATAATAAGAATATGAATTTATGTATAATTATAATTATAAAAGTGCAATAATACTATTATAACAATTTGTATAATATAAAAAGTAATTATAAATCATATATTTTTTATCAGTATTAGTAATAGTATTTCCATTGTTTTTTATTGCAAGGGATTAAAAGTATTATTTTCAAAGTTATAAAGTATAAATTTATATATTTTATACCTATTTATGGATTTATATTTTTTTATCTTGTTTTCAATTTAGAATTTCTATATTATAATTTTAAATATTTAAAATACTTAATTATTGTTCACAAATAATTTTTAATGTTTAATATAATTTAAATAAAATATTAGAAAGTTTTTTATAAATCTCTGAATTTGTTTATTAGCTATAACATATATTTTAATAAATAGTCGGTGTAGAGTAACAAAAAATAACTAAATTTCAAACAAGAAATTTTTTTAACTCATTGTTGGTTTTTAACAAAATCGGTGATAAATGAACTTAGATTTGAACTTTGTAAAACAAATTAATTAAATATATCATTACTATGTTAGAAAGACTGTATATTTAATATATTCTAAGTATATAAATACGGATACTGCATGGAAAAGTTGTGCGCCTGATCTTTTAATTTCTGGTAACAAAATTATTCATGTCAATAAAGCTATTTTTCTTTAAATAATATTCATTCGCAATAAAGAAGGTTAAAATATATTCTTTACTGCCTATACCTTACAGAAAATGAAAGTTGGAAGGACTAGCTAACCTTGAAATGAGTATGTATTAGAATAATAAAAGGATTATAAGCAGGATAGATAATATTTAATTAGGCTTATCTTGCAGCACTGACTACGTGATTTAAACGAATAAATTAAAGAGAAAATTATAAAATGAAAAAGAGAAAGAGGGAAAATTAGAAAATCAACGATTAAGAGGCTAATTTCTGAATACTGATTAGTCAATTCCTTTTAATCTAACAATGTATTTACAATAATCATTTCTTATATTTTATTGAGTCCCTCTAGATTGGAAAATATATATTAAATAACATATATGAATTATAATTTGTCTATACTTGATGCGAGAAGCTACAAAAATGTTAAGATCCTTTAATTAATTTAATTATTTATATATCGACTATAAATTTCCCATCTGGTATAGCCTAATAATAAATAATAATTTGTTCCTACTTTGTCACGCTGACTGTTATTTTTTATATTTTTGGATGGCACTTTCTAAATTTATCAAACAAAAGCTTTTGTCGCTTATTAGCGTGACCAGAGTAGAAGATATGTGAAAATGCGCGCAAGGGCTTACCAACAGTTAATCTGGATTGAAACAGGGTGTTTGTAAGTGCATTCCGCCTTTGTAATGAGAGCAGGAATCTCCGCATAAGTAGAATTTGCTGTCAAGGCAAAAAGTCCTATTACTGCCGATATATTAAAGTACAGAATTAAAGTTAAACGCCATAAGTATTAAATTTTTAATACAGGTATTAAATCATTAATTACGATAACATAAATTTAAGCAGTAATTAATAAAGTATTTGATATGTAATAATTTGTAACAAATGGATTTATAAAGCCGTTACATTTAATATAATTTATAATATTTTGGATGATATTGTTTCATTAGCAAGAAACGATAATATTATTAATAGAATAAGAGTCAATAAAATTTGCATAGAGCATATTTAAAACAATGAATTAGTATTTATTTATTATAATGATTTAAATCGTAATTATATAATGATATAAGGTTTGTTTAATGCAATAAATGTAAAAAATTGTAATTACTAAAATCAAAAAACATTATTTATAAAAATTATTTAAAAAAATTAAATTGAAAAAATTAAAATGTATTAAATTATGTATACACACCGGTGACCAAATTTTTCTTTTTTTTATTATTGATTTTGCAATAAATATATTTTAGTTTAATTTGAAGATGATCTAATTTATTTATTTCTATTAAACTTTTATTGACTTTATATTGAAAATGCTTAATGTGAAAGAATTAATTTAATTTCAAATATTAATATAGTTAATCGCTGTTTTTAACGAAACTTTGTTATAATATTTGTTTAAACATTTATGTTTGAAAACTTAAATTAACTATAATCATACAAATCATACAATTTTTTTATACAATAATATTGGTGTTTTAAAAGAATTCATAAAAAATAATATAAAAAATACTATTATACTTAGATTTTCTTTTAAACTAATTCCCATAATATTAATTTTCAATAAAATAATATTATTCTAGAATAATTAAAATGAAACAAATTGAAATATGTTAAAATAGTTTTACATTTAAATTAATTTATTTGCACTTTCCCTTTCTCTTCCACTATCCCTTTTGATATTAGATTTTCTTTTAAACTTATTCCCATAATATTAATTTTCAAAAAAATAATATTATTATAGAATAATTAAAATGAAACAAATTGAAATATGCTAAAATAGTTTTATATTTAAATTAATTTATTTTCACTTTCCCTTTCTCTTCCACTATCCCTTTAGATATTAGATTTTCAATTTAAAGGAAAATGTATTAATAATTCCTAAGAAAGATAATACTTTATTTAATTTTTTTTTGTATATTATTAACTTTAAATAAATAAGAAACTTTTAAAATTTTTATACAAGATACATTTTATTGAACTGCAAAATATATATATATATACATATATATATACATAATCAATGTAAGAATAAACAATGTAAAATGAATATTCGTAAATTATAAATTAATACCCATAAAAATACTTACTAAGGGTGGCATTGTTCGCACGTGAAGCGTCAGTCTGAGATCTGAGAAGTCGTAGACGGTTTAATTTACTCTGCTGCTGATCTAACCGATGTCTAAGCCGTGCCAGTCTGTCTTGTTGCGCCGGCTCCTGAAATAATCAAATTGAATTTTTTCTAAGACCTATGACAAAAGGATCAATGTTAAATGAAAAATAGACTGTGTAAATAATATGAATGTAATTTGATTGATTAATGCTAACACCATAATGATAATTATTACAGAAATCTGTTTAAATAAACTTTCAATAAGATATTAAGAAGCTTACTAAAAATAAAAGTACAAATCAATTTGTCTATAAAGTCATCACTTCATTAAAAGTAATTCACAAACTAAATTAATTTGTATATACAATAACATAGATATTCAAAGCTTTATGTACAAATAAATAAATAATACAAATAATTTACATTTTAATAGATTATACAATTACTATACAATAATTTTATATATAATATAAACTGAAGATAATTTATAAAATATTAAAATATCTACTTAGATTGAGAAGTCAAAAAAAAGCTCTATGTACATTGTATATAAAATATTTTTTATAATACTTAGATTTTTATTATCAAGTTGAAATGATTTTTTTAAGTTAAATTCATTTTCATTCCATAATTTATACTTAAGATATAATTGAAATATTTAAAAAACATTTTTTAATTTTACAGAGTTCTTTGTATACAATATTCAATAAAAAAGACCCAATTTTCACAATCTTGAAGTGGTTAACAAAGTAATTATGTGCACATTTATTTAAAAATTAAAAAGTCATTAAACATGATGTTTGTATTCTTTGTGACATTATAGAAATCTTATTATTAAACTTAAGTTAACAAAAAAATAACAAGTATAATTTATAAATATTTACTCCTTTCTTATATAAATAGTAAAGAGCATTTTGTTGTCTATTATCTTTATAATTTAAGTAAAAAAATGTTTGAATAATGTTTGATTTAAAAAGTCAAAAAGTTATCTTAGCGATTATTAAGTATTTTAATGTTAAATTTTCTTATAATAATAGGTAGTTGTTTTTTATTGTATTATGATCAAAATGCAATAAATTAATGAGACTAAATTAATTAATTAATTAATTAACATCAGAGCTGGTAATTTTAGAATTACAGATGTCCTATAGTAATAAAATAGTTTAAAATAAACTTTTACAGATTGTTTATTAAAAGATGAATTTTATCGAAATTTTATTTTTGAATATTGAATATTGAATTATTATTGAATAAGAAAAAATAATAAAAAAAATGTTAATATTATGTAAAATCTAATATTATAAAAAAATATTAAATTCAAATAAAAATATAAATTAGTCTAATAATATTTTTAATCGATCACAAATGTGTTACTTGTATAAAAACTTTTGTTAATGGTTTTGCACATAAATTTAATTATCAGAGAGTGAACATTTGCTGAATACACTAAATTACACTAAATTCATTGGGAATCTGAATTAGAAATAAAATAATTGCTTATTTTAAATAAACTATTTATATTGATTCTGGTGTTATTTTAAATATTAAGACACTCATGAAAACTAAAATCTGCATTTAGAAAGATTTTTTAGAATATATGGATGTAATATTTGATCTAGTTTTTGTATTTCAAATATATCTTACTTTAGAGCATTGATGATTTGTAACTTATATAAAAAATTTATAAACAATAAAATATTTTATTTTAAATTAATGCAAAAAAAAGGAAATTTTTTGTTAAGAAATATATCTTTTTTATGTAATGAATTGTTATATTCCTGATATTATATATTTACAAATATTAAAACAAATCTTTTAAGTTATATTCAGATTGAGATTATTAAATTTATTATGTATTTCGTTGAACATAATTTTAGAAAGAATTACTTATTTTATTAAAAAGTAATACATTCACACGTTTATAGAAATTCTTGCTCTTATGAATACATTTAATTATATATATTCAATTCATGCAATATTATTAAAATCTTTTAAATCGTTATTAATAGATATTTTGTACATATTCTATAAAGAATGATTTAAAAGAGAAAAAACATTTTGATTTGAATTATACAGTGTATTTAAGTGAATATAAATATAATTTAGTTTTAATATATTTGTATTAAAAATCGACTCACCTGAGCACCTCGAAGGACAGCAAGTCGAGCTTCACGCTGTTCTAGGAGACGACGTTGTTGAGCGATTTCGCGTTGCTGCCTTGCCGCCATGCTTTCAAGTTCGCTAAGCACCAGCACGGCACCGCCCCCGCCCACTGGTAACTGTAATAAAAACACAATTTTAGGATATTATCTGGCTATTGGACGTGGTAATAGGAGTCAATATTCTCAGCAACCTTAAAGGTATTAAGTACAAATCTAACAAATAAAATAAAAATATGCTTAAACTTTTTCTATTTACTAACATTATGTAACAAAATAATTTTTATATTTGTATAATAATGCTCATAAAGATAAAAATTTTTTCCTACAATACTTAGATTGTTAATACATAAGCATTTTAATTTTAATAAGAAAAAATAGTATTTTATACGAAATAGATACAATAACAATGAAAATAAAAAATCTATTTGAATATTAGTGATATAAAAGACAAACAAGCAAGATTTCAATTTTTAATCTTTAAATTTCATACAACTAGATTGAGTAGCCTACAATATTTTTCACATAGACTTGAATCTTTTTTTCATTTTAATAATAATTTTTTATTACAATTATAATCTAAAGTATTATTTATATATCATGATAATAATATGCATGATTTGCATGATAATAATAAGGTAATGTGGGGGAGAGTTCTTTAAAGATAATAACAAAAAGCTATAACTTTTTAGCTTTCTGCAAAATGAGTAACGAAACAGATTAATATATATTTACAAAATGTCCATAAAAATTTAGAGCTCAAAATTATACTTATTACATAACAATATATACAATATTTTAATAAAGTTCAATATTTGAAAAGTTTTTAATTTAGTAACTTTAAGAAATAAATAATATTTAAAATTCACGCTTTTATTATATTATGTTTTGATTCGATTTTCTTTATTTATTATTTTGTTACATATAGTTTCATGATATATAACATTATAACAAATAAACATTAGAATATTTCTAATTACTATATCTAACTATTTTCATATTTGTTATTTACACTTATTTAAACAATTATTAACAAATTTTAATAATAAAATTATTTCAAACATAAAAAACTAAAATAAGAACGGGACGATTTTACAAAATATTATTAAAATTAAATTATTGACATATTTTTCAGTTTCAATATAAGTTTCATTAAAAATAAAATTAAAGAGTATTTAATTAAATTAAATAAATTTAATGAAATATTTAATTCAAAATTATTTAAAATGAAAATACCATATGTCTTTATATAATATGTTATTCGAATTTTTTATTTCATATTTAATTGAGTACAAATTACATTTATATCGTGCTCGTATAAATATTACAACAAAATTTATTCTTAGATTGGCATCTCAAATTTTATATTTTATATGAGATTATCAAATAATTAAAAATGAATAATCTGTTCGAAAAATAAATTCTTATTATTTGTCCAAACTTACAATTCATTGTAATTAAGAGTTACGGATATAAAATTTGATTTTTAAAATCTAATAAAGTAATTCATTTTTGTATTTTTATTAAGATTAAATATTTCAATATTAAACTAGTTTTTCTACAATGAACTATTACAATATTGATTTATATATTTAAAAATTTGAAATTGCAGAATATATTAGTTAAAAATGAGCGGCAATATTGAATTGGCACTGTATAATCACAAATCGAAATGGCACTAGTCTGAAAAGAATTAAAAATACATTTAAGCAATGCTCTTGCAGTCTTTGATGCTCCGACGCAATCGACTAGTACATTTAACGTAAAATATGAATGACTGCCTATTCAGCCAGGTTAGACAAGGTTGAACATTTATTTTGTATTTAAAATTCTAAAGTATTTTACACTATTTGTCTGAGCCTTTATGTGGAATGCTATAAATAGGATAATATATGAAAAACTTTACTCGAAAGTACATATTTCTATGTGCCACTGAGTAGCGCTGATGCTCTTCGCTACTGCACAACCATTGTATTTATTCGAGTTAAAAATGTTAGCTACTAGTACAATTACATATATCAAAGGACTTCGTAAAATTTATAGGTATTCCTTTTTAAATATATATACTGACCAATTACTATTACAACCGATTGCTAACATTTTTATTAAAATCTTAAGACGAAGATCATTTCACAATTTATTACAGTATGTAAATGATTTGTTAAATAACTAACACTTAGTTTCATTGCAATTTCAACTTTTAATTTATATTACTAATTATAGTTAAAAAATAAATGAGTGAGTGTTTGAGTTTGAGTGTTTGAGTAATTTATATTACTAATTATAGTTAAAAAATAAATGAGTAAGAGTATTTATCAGTGTCAGTTTCACCTTTGCATTTCAATAAATTTTGCTTGGATATATTTAATTATTATTCATTTGTCTACCTTGGAAATATAGAAAATAAAAAATTAATTATATTATACAAACAATATTTTAAAAATGATATATTTCACTAAATAAAAGTGTGTAATTTTTCATAGATATTGTTTTTTCTTTTGAGTGCACGGCTCAACAATATTTTTGAGGATACATAATAACTAACAACTTTACCAACTGTCTTCGTATCATCCAAACAAAAAGCTTCATCTCTTTCATAAGGTCAAGTTATCAGTATTAAACGACTATTTATGGAAATTTAGATTTATTATATTCGTTAATGAAGAGCTTCTACATGTTTAAAAAAAAAGTTTTTTTAAAGATATAGAATAAAATTATTACTGTTATCAAAATAAAAATGTTATCAATTTTTATTATATCTATGAAATATTACTATTTTTTAATTACTCGCTAATAAAATAATATGAAAAAAATTTGGATGTACTAAAATATTTATATTTTTATTCTCTTGATACATATTTGCAAATATTTGTGCTTATAATTTCATATCATTTAAAATCACCTATGAATTCTATATTTTATATTCTTTACATTTGATACAAAAATATAAATAATTTAGTTCCTTTACAAATATTAAATAATTTCTTAAAATCTTAAAATAAAATACTTCGAAAATTTTTAAAAGAAATAAAAAAATTTAGAGAATAGTAATTAAATGAAAAATTCTAAATTTCCTATTTTAATAATTAAATTAATCAAACTGAAGTAGTATAAGAAATAAATATAATATATTGATATTTGGTATAAAGTAGAAATTATTTTTTTATAATAGTGATATAATTAATTTTGACTTTAGAAAAACATAGTAAAATTAACACGAGTAATAACATTAATAATAATAACGGTATTTGTAATAATAGTCAATATCGTTGATTTTTTAGGTATCTTCAAGTATCGTATCACTAATATGTAATCGTAACTAATAATTATGATAAACATAACTAATATTTATGATTATAATATAATTATAATTATGATTATTTTTAAATGTTGCTATAATTATAATGTAAATTATGTATAAATGTTTTCTTAAATTTTAACAATAAACGTATTATAATAATCAAAAATATTTTTTATAAAAAATTTGTATAAATAGAAACAAATAAATGCAGTTTACATACAATATTAAGTAATTTTATATTTATAAATACTTAAAAGATGCATAATTTACATGTTTGCCATTCCGTGTTTCTGTCATTTTGATAGTCTGCCAAAGTTAATGTTAGTACATGGACAATATTTTGACGTAGACCCTATTGAGTTACTACCAAAATCCCTGACGCCCGTGATAATCGTGAAAAAAAAGAATTAAATCAGCAATGGACTTGTTGATAGTTACGAATATTATTCAATATGATCTTTAAAAAATTTAACATTTAATCGTTTTTTTTATCAGTTTTTATATATGTAACTACGTAAATAGTAGATACTCGATAGTCCTATTATAATACAATATGCACATAAGCAGGCGTATTAGTGATAGATAAAAAAACAGATTTTTTTGGATTATTATATCAATACATTAACTCTATTGCAGACCAAGATATGCATTTTAAATTGTGAAATTTTTAAAAATAATAGAATTTCACGTAATATCGATTTACTAGCGTTTTTCATTTAATATATAATATATTTCTGAAATACTAAACCAGTCTCTTATTCTAATTTTCAAAATTATCTTCTCTAAATCTAATAAATAGGTAGAAATTTTGAAATAAATTAAACTAATATTTGAAAGAAAACAAATGACGAATTGAGTAATGAGATCAATACTTTGTAACATACAAGATTTTCATTTGTTTGATTATCGAAAATTGCAAATATTAATTTTTTATTATCATGCATTGGAATTTGAAAGGTAGTTAGGTGTGACTTAATATAAGATATGATATTTATAATAATAAACAATCATAATATTTATTTACATTCATAGCCAATACGATGAATTTGTACTTAAATTTTATTATTATTTCATTTTGATCAAACTTAATATTTCAAAAATAAATATAATAGCTAAAATATATATTATTTTAAACGAATCTTAAATTAAAACATTAAGTGAATTGCATAAATTATAATATACTTTTTAAATAAATTATAAACAAATTAAATTAAATTAACATATTACAATTATTAATTAAAAAAAGGCAATAGTAACTACAAAAATAGAATACGCGAGCAAAGGTTGGATAATATAATAATGCAGCTGATATAATATTAATAGATCAATAAATATTACATAAGATTATAATAAAATAGATACACTATATCTTTCTTATAAAGTTCTACCTAGAAAGTAAATAGAAAAAAACAAATCGAGTTTAAGAAATAACATAATTTAAGTAAAAAAGTATTAAATTCAATATGAGCTCATTTCACTTACATAATTGTGTATGCAAGAATGAAGTAAATCTTTTATATAAACAAGTTTTTTAAAACAATTTATCACATCAAAAAAAATTATTATAACGTACTGAATCTAAGACAAATTATAATATTTACAAATAACAACGAAAATAACAATATTTTTGGAAAAATAATATAAGCAATAATTTTTTGACAAAAAAATAACATATACACATATATAGATGATTTATAATAAACACATTTTATTCTGATTAATATAATATTCTTACTCAAACATAATCTAGATATTTTTTAAGAATTCAACTTTAAATCTTAGGTAATAAGTATTTATATACCTTATTATTGTAATATAT